TGGCGTGTTAGCTATTGGCATAAATAAACGGTGACAACGGAAAAGAGTCAACAACAAAAAGGGGGCAAGGGGGCAGGGAGACGTACATTGTGGGCGGCGGGGCCGGCTCTTTCTGCTTCTCCATGTCCTTGCGGACCATGGCCAGAAGCATAGCGGCGCGACGCTGTGTCGGGAGAGGCGCCGAGGCGGGGAGGTTCGTGGTCGGTGACGGCGCTGTTGTCGCATCGTCGTCGGTGATGCCAACGGCAGTAAAGGCAGCCGGAGTTGCGATCGACGAGCTGCCCTCCAACGTACGGAGCATCGCCTGCTCGTAGGCCTGCTGCCGCGCCCAAGTGGACGACCGGGAAATCCTGTTGGACAGGCTCTTGATGGGCTTGCCGGAGGTGGCGCTGACACTGCTGTTGGTGCTGTTCGCCACACCCACGCCTGCCCCCAAACCCTCGCCTTCGCCAAACTGCCGCAGCTGGGCCTGTTCGTACGCGCGCTGCAGCGCCGCCCGTGCTGCTGCGGCCTGTGCGGCCTCGGCTGCGGCGGCTGCCCCTGCCGCACTGCTCTCGCCACGGTCGCTGCTCCCACCGAGGACGTGCACGTGGCGCAGCATGCGGGAGGCAAACATGTGCCGTTTGGATTTCTTGGGCAGTGCCGGTGTCACGGGTGGCGGCGGCCGCAGGTCGATGGGATCAGGCATGTGCCGCGTGGCCGTATCGCGCGCTTTTCCCTTGCTGCGGGCAGCCGCTTCCCGCCGTTCCTTTTCCAGCTGCTCCTGTCGACGCCGCTTTTCTTCCGCGCGGGCGGCTGCGGCCGCCTCGGCCTCGGCCGCCTTGACCTTGTCCCGCTCGGCCTTTTCGGTGACGGCGACGGCGAGCTGCGCCTGGACGCTCTCGAGCGACGACGAGACAATCTCGCGCAGCAGCTCGGGCACCTCGGCGCCACCGGGTAACGCCGGAATCTCACTGAGCGCTGTGGGCGGCGCCACGTAGGCCCAGGCCAAATCGTCCTCGTCGGCGACGGTGCCCAGCAAGTCGTCAGCCTGGCCGTCTCGGACGAGAAAGAGGGGCAGCGGAACGTCGACCTCGTCGTCGGTGTCGGCATAGTCGGCGGCCGGGTCGTCCTTTTCGGTCTCGGTTTCCGTGCCGCAGTCCCGTTCCGAGCCGTCCTCGGAGGTTCTGTCGGTGTCGAAGCTGCCGCGGCCATCACTCGGCGTCGACCCAGGCGTCGGCGGTGCCAGTGTCGAGGTGGAGTCGTTGTTGTTGCTGGCGAGCGACGTGCGGATTCTGGACGACGAGCCTTTTGTGCTGGGCCGGGACAGGTCAGGGCCGAGCAGCGTGGAGACGTCAAAGCCGGACGCGGACGCGGGCGCGGACGCTTGCGGTGCTGTTAGAGTTTGAATTGCTGCAGATTCTTGTGGAGCCTTTGGTGTGCTGGCTTGTGCTGTCTCATCGGCCTCCGTTTCTGCCGTGACTTCTGCCGTCACTGTCACCTCCGGCTGCGGCAGCGGCTGCACCTCGGCCGTCAATGTAGAGATTGTCGGCTCGTCGACCGGCGGCTCATATGCCATCGGCCGGATGACGATCCGCTGCACCTCCATCTCCTTGACTTCCTTTGTGTACTCCTCCACCGACAACAGCGGCGTTAAGTTTGTCAAGACAGCCCCTTTGGATAAGATGGGCGGCTGAAGCCGGGCGATGGGCAGAGAGTGTCGTTCGCGGATGGGCTCTTCTTCAGCAGTGACTGTGGAGGCCGATCCCATCGACGAGATGTGGAGATGTTGGGGAGAGGGTGATGTTGGTGATGATGGTAATGATTGCTGTTGCAGGATGTTGTCGAATAATAATGCAGTGTGACGAAAATAAACAAAACAGTAAAGGAAACATGAAGAAAGGAAGAGAGTAAATCGACTTTAGATGAAAAGAAACAAAAAGTACAGATTGAGCGTTCGGCGGCTGAGGCTACAAGAACAGAAACCGAACATCCCACAATCAGTTCACCTACCTACTTTGCCCCTTTCTGCAGAGACAGAATCCACCGGCAAGGCAGCACAAGGCTTGGTTCTCTCTGGAGGTAGGCGTGTGGGTGGACGGCCTGGGCGACCGAGACAAGTGAATAGGCGCAGCATCATCTAGGCGGAGGAAGACAAACAGAGTCAAGGCACAGCACATCACAGCACAGCATCGCACAGCAGAGCTCTCGCTCCACACGGCCGGCAGCTCGAACCGGTGGCAGCCTTGCCATGTGCAGGGGCAGTGTTTAGGGACTGGATCTGGAGGGGAATAGGGAAAAGGGAAAAGGGGGACAACAAGAGTGGACAGATGCGGGACTCCTTTTTGGGCCAAGGCTGACTTTGGCCTGTCACGATCAAGCGCGCCTTCCTTGGAGACGGGTTCTCTTGGAGGCAAGTCCTGGCAGGCGCGAACGACAGGGAGAACAGACAGGCGGCAGGCCCGACTACCATCGCATCCCCGCTCTCCTGCTGTCTCCGTTGGTTTACTAGCGAAATCAGCGAAATATTTCCTAAAGACAAGGACAACATAACAAAGTTGGGACTGACCACACATCGTATTCTGGAAAACGCCCTGCGCTCGTGGGCGGCGTACCAGCAGACGATTGGCTGCCAAACAAAGGATCGGTCAAGGAAACGGCAAGCCAGGACGAAAACAGCCTTCTGTGGCTGTGTCAACGCGTGCTGTGTCAGTGGCAGTGGAAGCAGTTAGCGTGTTCTAGGCATTGGCGGTCATGTAAAGACCTGTTCAAGCGCCTGTTAACCGGATCGCCCCGCCAAGTTAGGCCTGTCCAATAGGGGACAGCTGCCGATCGCTGTTATTCGCCCCAGGCTGTCGGGGCATCTCCCCGGCTTTCACCAACACATCTACCCTTTCCAAAACACGTCTCGCTTGTCGATGCACAACACCCAACAAGACTGCTCCGATGGTCATGTCATAGTGTAATTTTACATATATTTAGACACGCTCGCGCTAGGCTCACTCTGACGTCGAAGCTTCTATCTCTATCCTGTATGCGAGCTGTCTATGCTCGCTGTCGTGTCCTCGCGTCCTGGCTCGACCGACCGCTTTCGGTATCGTTTCTGTCGTTTCCACTCTCGTCATCGGGCGCGCCTCGTCGCCGGCCGCCTACTCCGTACTGTGGTACAACCTACAGCCTGGGCTTCCCTGCCGCAAACTCGACCCGGTTCGTGCACGTCCCCACGCCCTCCAACGTCACCTCGACCACGTCGCCGTCCTTGAGCCACAGCTTGGGGCTCCGGCCCATGCCCACGCCCGACGGCGTGCCCGTAAAGATCAGGTCGCCCGGCTGCAGCGTGGTGCCGCGGCTCAAAAAGGCAATCGCCTGCCGGACATTGAAAATCATGTCGGACGTGCGGCTCGCCTGGACCGTCTGGCCGTTGAGCTTGGTCGAGATGGCGAGCGCCTGCGGGTCCAGGAGCGACGCCCGCACAATGCCGGGCCCCCACGGCGCCCACCCGTCGAAGCCCTTGCCCACGGACCACTGCCCACCGCCGCGCTTCAGCTGCCAGTCGCGGTGCGACACGTCGTTGCCGACGGCGTAGCCCAGCACCACGCTCAGCGCGTCGGCCTCGGGCACGTCCCGGCACCGCTGGCCAATCACGGCCACCAGCTCGCACTCGTAGTCGAGGCCCTCGCCCTCCTGGGCTACGGCGGGCACGGGGATCGCGTCGTGCGCGCCGCCCAGGCTCGTGGCCGGCTTGTAAAACAGCACCGGGTACGCCGGCAGCGCCATGCCGGACTCCTTGGCGTGCAGCGCGTAGTTGAGGCCCAGGCACCGCACCGTCCGCACGTCCTCGGGCGCCAGCGGCGACAGCAGCGTGCGCACCTCGGCCACCTCGTCCGTCACCGTGTGCTGGCCAAAGATGCTGCCGCGGACGATGCGCGCCTGTGTGGCCTGGGCGATGTCGACGACGCCGCGCGGGAGGAGGGCGTCGCCGTAGTAGATGCAGCCGTCTTTGGCGAGGAAGCGGATGAGGCGCTGGACGGTGTGCAATGCAGTTAGATGTGTGGACGGGCGTAGAGCAAGCGTCGACAGCTGAAGTAGGATGTAGAGCGGAAACTCACCGAAAAGGAAGCCATGGTGTCACTCGTGGCGCACGAAGTGAGAGTGAAGACACAGAGAAGACAGAGAGCAATCGCAAGGAAGAGGAGGGAAAGAAGAGAAAGGAAAGAGGAAAGAGAAAAAATAAGAGAGCTCAAGAGAACAACAGCAAAAAGAGAAGCATGCGGGCGGCACGGAAAGCTCTCTGACCTTTTGCTTCTCTTCTATTTCTTCCGTCGCAGCGAACCCCAGATCCACAGAACCAGAGATTCCGCCATCAGTTCGCTCCGCTCTGACACTTCCGTTTGCTAGCTAAGCTGGCTGGCGTCCTGGCCACCGAAAGTCCTATCCATGATCTATTGGTGTACTCCAGTATTTGGATGCGAGGTGCGGAGCAGATTGGAGTCTTGTCCAGCTGCCAAAGGCGCAAAAACTGCTCTAGCGATGGTCTCCCCCACCACCTCCGATACAGGCAAGAAGCGTGCTCGGATGACACCTTCCCCAAAGAACGGTACGTGGAGTAGACTGCGACAAAACGGCAAGTGCGACCGCGACCACATCGGGCCCACTTTCGTCATCGGCTCTTTTTGGCTGCGCCGAGTTTTCGAGTTGACAACCAAAAACCAAAATGCGACGCACTTCGTAAATCATAACGACAACCCCCTCGTCACTCCAACGCTTCACACAATCACGCATTGTGCCCCTCCCCCACAATGCGTCTCTCTGGTCTCCAGCGCGAGGTTCTCAGCCTCTACCGCCAGTGCCTGCGCGCCAGCCGACAAAAGCCCGAGGTGAGTGGAAACGATAAACGATTCGAGACGGACAAAGTGGGAGAAGCTCTGCAAAAAGTCCAGGATGGCGGACCGGCAAAATCCCGGTAACCCCATCCTAGGACTAGTTCCTTGCACTGTACTACCGCTTCTATTCACACCAAAATGAGAAACATTACCCAAAGAGGAAATCCAGAGGAAGAAATAAGGAAGAATCAAAGAAGAAAAGAAACAGCAAGGACAACCCAGGCTGTAAAGCAACATTACCTACATGGGGTTAGCCTGTTGGAGACAAGTCCTGTTCGTCGTATCGTTTGCATGACACTGCTAACACATCCGCCGCTCCCTCGCCAGGCATCCCGCGCCCACTTTGAAGCCTATGCCCGCTCCGAGTTTGCCAAGAACAAGGGATTGGGAAAGAAGGACTTTGCTGCGATTGAGTTTCTGTTGAGAAAGGGGAGGCGGCAGCTGGATGTCATGTCGTCGCCGGGCATTACAGATGTGCGCTGAGCGTATGTATGTGTACCTCAGGAATTGACGGTGATGGCATCCATGTCAGCCGTGGGAGCAGCCGACTATTATCAGCATCGATGGCGCCGTGCCAGTTGTGACGATGGCGATGCCAATACCCGACACAAGAATTGTACAAAATACTGTATTCTACTCTAACACTGACCGTCTTGAATAAAGAAATGTTATTACCTCAACCGCCTGGACGGTGGATCAGTAGACGGACCGATTGACGTCTGATGGCGGGTGAAGCAGACTGAGGACGGGACGGGACGGCGGATAATCAAGACTGGCCCCGGAGCTATTTGTGATCATGTTTAAAATAGATCGGAGACAAGTACGTAGTGTACTCGTACAAAAAAGACATTGATTGCATATTAAGACAGAAATTAAGGCAAAAGTATAATAACAAGTAAAGATGACATGAGAGGGAAGGAATTAAGGAATGAAAATGAATTTATGAACACACGGAAAGGCAACCTTTTCCACTTTTCCTGTACCAACCCCAACACCCCCTCCACCACACCTCCGGTTTCTCCATTCTCCACATCCCTAAATCCGCTCGACCTCGTTGAGGTGCAGCTCCTTCTCGACCTGTGTCAGGTCCATCTCCGGCACGGCCGCCTCGGGGCCGTCAATGACCTTGGCCAGCTCCTCGAGGGTGGGGCCGCGGGTCTCGACGTACATAAAGTAGACAAAGAGGAGCTCGAGGAAGATCCAGCAGGTGTAGATGAGGTAAAACTTCCACGAGTGGTCGTTGAAGTAGTCAAAGGCGACGGGGTTGGCGTAGACGTTGAGGGTCAGCGCGGCCTGGATGGTGTAGTTCATAATCATGAGGCCCTTGCCGCGCAGGCGGTAGGGCAAAATCTCAATGGCGTAGCCGACGAGCAGGCCGGACCAGGCGAGCGAGTAGAAGACGCCAAAGAGCCAGATGAAGAAGATCATGGCGTACGAGGCGCGTTGGAGGTGTTGGTCCTGGTAGAGGCCGGCCGTCAGGGTCCAGAAGACAAACGTGCCAAACATGCCGGCGGTGGAGGCCAGGAACATGGGCCGGCGGCCAATCTTGTCGACGAGCATGGCCATGCTGATGGAGACGACGAGGGCCAGCCCCGTCTGGCCGCCCGACAGGCCCAGCTTGGTGGTGGGGTCCGTGATGCCGGCAGTGTCGTACAGGATGCTCTGGTAGTTGCTGATGATGGCGTTGCCGGACCACTGCGAGAAGATGCCGAGCGAGATGAGCACGGCGAGGCGGTAGCGGTTGCCGCGCGTGCGGAAAAAGTCGAGGTACGTGCTGTTCTTCTTGCTGGCCATCTCGAGCCGGATCGTCTCCTTGATCTCGCGGTACTCAAACTGCACCGTCGGGTGGTTGGCGTCGCCGCTGCCGTGGTACTTTGCCAGGATCGCCAGCGCCTGCTCGTGCTTGTCCTTGGCCATGAGGAAACGCGGGCTCTCGGGCACCCAGTAGATGAAGAACAGCTGGATCACCGACGGCAGCCCCTGCAGCAGCGCCGGGATGCGCCACGAGCTGTTGTTGTTGAGGTAGTTGGTACCAAACGACACCCATGTCACGATGAGCGCGCCCACGTTCCACAGGCAGTTGTACACCGTCGTCAGGCGGCCGCGGTGCTGCGGGTGGCACAGCTCCGTGAGCAGCATGGGCGACGCGATCTGGGCCAGCGAGTTGCCAAAGCCCAGCAGCGCGCGCCCGCCCATGAACGTGCCCAGGTTCTGGCAGCTGCCCTGCAGCACGGCGCCGACAATCATAATGACGCAGCCGACGGCGATGGGCGGCTTGCGGCCCAGATTGTCGGTAAACAAGGGGACCAGCGGGATGGAGCACAAGCTGCCGATCTGGTAGAGCGCGCCGAGCAGGCCGAGCATCGAGCCCTGGGGGTTGCCAAAGAAATTTTTCCACGAGTCGAAGTTTTGGACCGAGTTGAAGAACATTCTACAGAGTCAGCAGGGGCAGCGGGAAGCCGGGAGAGAGAGAGAGAGAGAGAGAGAGAGGAGTGTCGACGTACCCCATCGTAACCTGTGGTGGCCGAGGCGACACACAAGACAATGGCATAAAAGTAGAGCTTGCGCAGACCCGGCTCGCGCTTCCAGTCGACCTTTTCAAACTGCGGGCCTTCTGCACCGCCCGATGCCGGGGCAACGGCGAGAGGCATGGTGGAAGCAGGCGGGGGGGGGGGGGGTAGAAAACGAACAACGTAAGAAAGAAACTAAAAGAGTGACGGGGACGATAAAGCAGAACGAGTGCAAAGAGTGAAACAGCGAAACAGTGAAACAGTGAGCGCAGTCCAAAAACGTGGACAGTCACTTTATGGCGGCAAGACCAGGCAAGTAAAGTAGAAACGAGACAAAAGAGAAAAGAGAAAACGGGTAGGCAAATGGCAATGGAGAGGAACGACTGCTGAGAGAGATATGTTTATATAAGACAGGGAAGGATGAGACGGGAGAGAGGATAGACAGTCATGCATGCTTCCCCAGAGCTATAGCAGGACAGCTATGGACTAGACTGTGTGCGCGTACAATAGACACAGCCGGCCACAGACACAGGCAGTAGATCCCATACGGCGGCCGGGCGGGCCGAACGTCAAGTCATCGAACAAATGTGGAACGGACTGGGCTGATGGGCGGACAGCACCCGTTTTGCGAAATCAGGCAAGACGAGACGGGAAAACGTGGCAAGAGGCACTGCGGCCAGGGACCGAAGAGGCTACTTTGATGCTGTCGATCATTGATTACGGAGTACTTCTTGCTGCTATTCTGTTATGCGCGGAACTGCTATGATCATCAATGGCATCTGGTCATGGGCGAGGATCAAAGGTAAGAAACGAAAGCAACCCCAAAAGGACACTTCCATTCCGCTTCAATGCATAGGCCGGACGCAATAATCACATCCACCGCAGAGCATACCCGGAAGCTACGGAATGGCGCGGATAACGAGGGACGGCGTGTCCAGAGCACGAAGAGGATGGCAGCAATACAGCTGACGGGAGCCAATAAACAGAGCCCAGAACACCAAACACTCAATCTACCAAGCGAACCTCGTAATCTCAAAGACGATGCATCAGAATGAAGAACAGGGGGGGACGAACGGGTGCAGAGTTGTGGAAATCAAAGCGACCCGGGCCAAGATTGAGACAATTTTATCGGGCGGGCCTTTTTTCGGTTTGTTTGTGGTTTGTATTGCAATAATAAATCGTGCCCAGGCTGATGGGATGTGATCACGGCAAGACACCCATTTCTGTGTCTTTCTGTTTTTTTTTGCTTTGATTACGAGTCTATAAGAGGTCTTCTATAAGAGACACGAAGGCATCAGGTGCAGAGGCATGAACGTCCAAGAATTCCTTGGCTTCGCGGACCGGGTGAAACGAAAGAGGATGTGGAGAGTTGTGGAGAGTGAGTGAGAAGGGTAAGAAATTGACAAAGAAAGAGTGGCAAGAAGGCGAGAAGAGAAAGAGTGAAAACGATAAACGGAAATCACTTCCTGTTGATGCTTCCTACGTTGGTTCCGGGTGGATCACAGTCTGTTTCTCGTCTATTCCTCGCAGCCGGCTGTGCATTCGTTATATTCCATCTACACCGTACATTATTCCATTTCAATGATACGACACGCCTCCTTCGTCCCCACGTGCAGCCAAGGCTCGCGTGCAGCTGCATGCAGGACTCATTATGCCTGATAGATTGGCTCTGGTTAATGGAAACGGAGATGCGAGCGGCTAGGAAAGTCAAAATAGCCGAGGACGGCCGAAAAAGGAACAAAAAAACAGAGGAGCAAAAGGAAAAAGAACAAAGGAGCCAAGAAATACTACCGTCGGATCTTGCAGCGGAATGAGATCTGCTGGTGGTGTGTGGCCAGGCCGTGCAACGGTTGAAGTCCTCCCACTTGGAAACACGTACGCACCGCGCTTTTAGGCAATTCTCTCCCGTCCATATATCGGCCCCCTGATCCCGCCGCCTGGGATAGGCTGACGACGGCGCAAGACGGCCTGAGGCTCTGGAGGTAGACGCAATCGGGCTGTTAACATGAGAAGCAATTAATGTAGGAGACTGGGACGTGGCTGTACAAATATGTTGGGTGTCTCGTAGTCCGATGTGTGATTGAAGATAATAAAAAGATAAAGATAAAAAGAAAAAGAAAAAGAAAAAAAAGAAAAAGAAAGAAAAGAAAAAGAAAGAAAAGAAAAAGAAACGCACTCCAGCTAAGCCACCATCAGACCATGGATCATCGGGATCCGTCACGTCGACACTGGCCCGTTTTGGGAGGCACAGTCTTCCTTTGGAGCGAGCAGTGGGCCAAGCCGAGAGACGGTGGGCTTCAGGACGCCGTATTGTGCCTTTTTTTTTTGTGCAGTTGTTCGTCTTTGCATTTTCTTTCTCACAAATTTCACCGTCCTTGGATCGTTTTGGTTGAAACAAGCATCCCTGCCAAGGTTTCAGACGGCAGTCGCGTGAAGGGCCGTGGCCGTGGTAAAATGTAAATGATCACCATTGTGTGGTGGACCGATGGGGATGTGCGGGAGGACAGCAAAAAGAAAATAAGGAAATAAAGGAAAATAAAGGAAAATAAGGAAAATAAAACAAAAAGAAAACTACCCAATCACCAACAACAGCCATCCCAGCCCTATTCTCGGACGAACGCTTTCACGTCCACGTCGACGTTGCCTTCATCGTTTCACGGTGATGCCTATGCGGCGTTGCGTGTAGTTTACGTCTTTACTTCTCTCGACCTGCCTAACTCGCATTCTGTTGCTATTGGAGTGCCATTGGGTTACAGTCTCTTTCATTACTTTGTGTCGACGGCTGGCAGCCGTGGAGCCACCTTTCTTCCATCTCTCCCAATGCGCGAGGCTGGCCGTTGCATGCAAGGGAAAATAGGCTAAACCAGGAACCAGTTGTCCGTCAGAAGAATTCGACACTGTCCAGACTATACCTTCACTGTCTTCAACGTCACTACCAACACCCCCCCACCTACTCTATGTGCTCGGCGTCACCCATCTTGCGCTCGACGTCGAGCTCCCGGTCAAACTTGTACGACGCAAAGTCGCGGGCGCGCAGGTTCTTGGCAAAGAGGACGTCGAGCTCCTCGTAGGTGCGGCCCTTGCACTCGGGCAGGCGGAAGTAGGACCAGACCAGGATGAGGAGGGCGAAGCCGGCGGCGAGGAAGCCCGACTTGCCCTTCCAGTTGCCCTCGGTGGAGCCGAGGACGTAGGGCGCGACGGTCGACGAGCAGATGACGCCGACGTTGTAGGTGTTGCGCGCGAGGGCGATGGTCTTGCTGCGCAGGCGCGTCGACGAGGTCTCGGCGACGATGATGAACGCCATGGGGCCGACGGTCAGCTGGTAGCAGGCGTACCACAAAAAGTAAAAGGCGGCGCCGGCGAAGCCGTAGCTGCGGGCGGAGCCGCCGCGGGCGTCCTGGGCGACGGACAGGAAGCCAATGACGAGCATGATGAGGCCCATGCAGAGGGCGCCGGCCATGAAGATGGGGCGGCGGCCGTGGCGGGCGGTGAGGAGGGTGGAGGCGAGGTTGCACAAAAAGTGCAGGCCGCCGAGGCCGACGGTGAGCTTGTAGGCGTCGGCCGCGGGCAGGCCGGCCTGCTCAAAGAAAAAGGTGGCGTAGGACGTGATGGCGAAGCCGACGAGGACCTGCGACAGCCAGGCGACGCAGCTGATCTCGGTGCGCCAGAGGTTGGTGCCACGGAAGCAGTCGAGCCACGCGGCGCCCTCGGTCATGGCGCGCTCGAGCTGCGTGGTCTCGACCATGAGCGCAACGGCGTTGCGGGCCGTGACGGCCATGTAGTCGCTGGCAGACGCAGATGTTCCCGGGGGGGCCGTCGTCAGGCGCCGCACCGACCGCTCGGCGTCGGCGAGGCGGCCCTGGCGCACGAGCCACCAGGGTGACTCGGGCGCAAAGACGACGAGCGGCACGATGACGACGGGAAAGGCCCACTGCACGGCAAAGGGGATGCGCCAGGCCCACTGGGTGGTGTTGCCGGTCAGGCCGTCGAGCACGCCGTACGAGATGAACTGGCCGATGCCCCAGCAGAGCACGACAAAGGTCTCGAGGTAGGCGCGCAGCACGACGGGCGTGACCTCGGAGGCGTAGGCCGTCGCCAGCGTCGTGTAGATGCCCCAGGACACGCCGCACAGCAGCTCGCCCACAAACAGCACGCCGACGGACGGCGCGAAGAAGGCGATGAAGATGCACGCCGTCAGCCAGGCCATGGCGCCCAGCAGCGTGCGCTTGTGGCCCCAGCGCTCCGTGCAGACGCCGTTGAGGGCGATGCCCACCAGGTTGCCCAGCGGGCTGGCCAGGCCGAGCGCCGTCTGCCACTTGGCCTGCACCTGGAAGCCCGTGGCCGAGTGCGGGACGGCGACGCCGAAGCGCTGCTGGAAGGCGGGGAAGCCAAAGAGCGTGCCGATGAGGGCCGTGTCGTAGCCGTCCATGATGACCACGAGCGACACGACGACGCTCCAGAAGCAGGCCTTGGGGTACTGGCGCAGGGCCCGCCCGAGGGTCATGCTGTGCTCGGCCTCTGTGGCGTCGCGGGCGTCGGCATTGAGGCCGGCCAGGCCGACCCAGGCGTTGGCGGCGTTGGCGGCGGCTGGGGGCGGCGGCGGGTTTTTGGTGTCTGTCATTTCCATGGTGGTTGCGATGCTGCTTGGTGGTACAAAGGCACAAAGCAAAGAAGACGAAAGCTGGGAAAGTTACCGATGGAGACAGGACAGAGGGAAATACGCCTCGACGTTTATCTACTTTTCAGAGACAACGGCCGAGTCGATTATCGAATGCCATCGTGCCGAGAGACTCGACATGTTCACTCACGAGAAGTGACAGGAACATTGTAGGGAAACAGGGAGAATACCCTCTCCATCGATACCGTCCACCCGGTTTGGTTGCACGACCCTCGTCGAGCAAACGACACATCGACTCTCGCTTGCGCTCGTCTACCACACCACCCCTGCTCAACCGGCTATATTCAAGTCAAATACGACGTGACGAGGCGGAGGTGAAATGTGAGGGGAAGTTGTGACAGGTTACGAGGGTCGAAGTTGTGAGATGCTCGCGTGCGTCGTTTTTTGTCGTTTTCCGGGCTAATCCACGAGGTTAATCCACGAATCGTAGGGCTGCATGTCGTGGCGACTGCGACGGTGCGCGAGGTACAAGAGGGTACATGGTGGAATGGTGAGGAGACGAGTGGAGGAACCCTCACTCTCCGCATGAGACGGAGCAGACGTGGTCATCGGTAGTTGTGTCCTTTCTTTTTTCTTTCTTTTCATAATTTTACTTTTTTCATTTCTTTCCTTTATTTGGTTTTTTACGTGGGTTGTCACTTGCTTTTTACCTTTGGCTGTCGTTTCCCTTTCCCATGCAGCGCTGGATTAGGATTCTTGTCATTCCTCTCTCCGCCGAATATAGCACCATCTGCCGGCTTGGCTGACGGTTCGTCATGTCTTGGCTTTCTTTCCTTCGATTCTGACCAGTGTTCGGCACATGCAGGGCATCGTACTTATGTCGTAGCTCCTCCCGACGTACATCCGTCTTGGCTCTTGGCACTTGGCACAAACTCAACAACGCACAGATCGTCCGTTTATAGTCCACAGTATACATTCGTACTACCATTTCGACCCCAACTTTATACCCAGAACTCTAGTCGACAACGCCCTCGGGCAGAATCGACACGTAGTCGAGCGGCGCCCGCTCGTTGCCGTCGGCATGGCCCACAATGGCCAGCGAATCGCCCGTTTTCAGTGCGACGCCGCGGAAGTAGACGCGCGTCGCCGAGTGGCCGTCGACAAACGCGGAAAAGTCGTGGCCCAGGCGGTCCTGCAGGTTGCCGGCCCACTGCCCGATCGGGCGGCTGTTGAGCAGTAGCTCGTACGTGGCGCGGCCAGCCGAGGTGTCGTAGTAGTTGACGGCCATGTCGTAGACGCCGTCGTCGACTGCGAGCGTCACGGTCACGGTGCCCGTGGCGGTCGACGGTGCTGTCTGCACGGCGCGTCCGTGGGACGCGGCCTCGGGCGGCGTGACATCGACTACCTCGTAGCCATCAAGGACGACGTTGGGCGACGGGGCGGCCAGGGGGATGCGATACATGTGGTTGTTGACGCGCCCGTGCGCGTCGTCGATGCCGCTCAGTGTCCGGTAGAAGCGGCAGACGGAGTCGCGCCAGACCAGCGCGTGGCCCGCCTGGTACGCCAGCTTGAAGGCGACGTGCGCAAACCGGGCGTCGTCGATCTTGCCGCGGAGCGCGGCCCAGCGCGCCGGAAACGTCTGCACGGTGGCGGCGCCGGCGTAGTGGGCGTCGTAAAAGTGCTGGATGACCGTCTTGCCGGAGCGCAGCACGTGTGTGTAGGGCACGTGGTGGAACCACAGCAGCAGGTCGTCGGGCGTCTGCCGCACGTCCTCGAAGACGGCCGCCACCGCGGCGTGGTACTGGCCGGCGTTGCCCGTGCCCGTGGCCACCGTCCGGTCCATGCCGATGCCCTGGCTGTCGGCGCGCGTCCACTGGCCCCAGCCGTTGCCGTCCTGCGACGCCGGTGACGGCCCGTAGTGCGTGTACAGGATGTCGCACAGCGTCTGCACGCCCAGGTTGCCCGAGTGTCCCTCGTAGGCTGGCCACGAGTCCATGAGCAGCGACGACACGGCGGCCACGACGGCCGCGTCGCCGGCTCCAAAGGTCAGGCGAATCCAGTCCTCGAGGATGTCGCGCGCGTCGTCCGCGGGCCGCCACGCCAGGCGGCCGTAGGCGTACAGGTTGGCCATGGCCAGGTAGTGGCCGAGCCACGTCGGGTCGCTGCCGACGTTGACGACGGCCGTGTAGCCCGTCGTGGCCCAGCCAAAAGGCGTCGTGTCCGGCGCGAGAAGGTCGCGCACGCGCGACGGCGCGCCGTCCACGCGCATGTCAAACGCCAGGATCTCCTGCCACTGCGGCGCCAGGTACACGGCGTGCGACTGCTGGCCCATGTACTCCTGCGCCACCATGAACTCGATCGCCGCCGGCGTCCTGCGCAGGCGCGCCAGCAGCGGCGACGGCGGCTCGCGCACCTGGAAGTCGATGGGCCCGAACTTGACCTGTACGACAACGTTGTCGGCAAAGGCGCCGTCGAGCGGCGCAAAAAAGTCCACCGCCGCGTTCGCCCGGTCGCTCGTGGGGTCTTCCTCGCGCAGGTGGTGGTCGTACACAAACGCGCGGTACAGCACCAGCCCGCCGTGTGGCTGCAGCGGCCGCGCCAGCACGTTGGCGCCCTCGGCCAGCGTGCGCCCGTAGCTCAGCGGGCCGGGCTGGCCCTCGGAGTTGGCCTTGATCGTGTAGCCCAGCAGGTCCGGCACGCGCCCGTAGACGCGCCGCGTCACGTCCGCCCAGAACGCCTCCACCCCGGCGTCCAGCGGGTCCGCCGTCGCCAGCCCGCCCAGCGTCCGCGGCGCGTCAAAGTTGAGCGCCAGTCCCACGCGCACGCCGTACGGCCGCATCGTGTCCGCCACCGCCTGCACCCCCGCCAGGTTCGCGTCCGTCAGCAGCGACGCATCCGCGTTCACATTGTTCACCACCACGCCGTTGAGGCCCACGGACGCCAGCAGCCGCGCGTACGCCCGCACGCGCGCCAGCGCCGCCGCCGTTTGCCGCACCTGCCCGTCGGCAAAAAACAGCGACCGCCCGCCGTACCCGCGCTCAATCGACCCGTCCATGTTGTCCCACTGGTTGACCCACCGGATCGGCGCGCTGGGGCGGCTGCCGAAGCCGAGGCCGAGGCCGGGCGACAGCGACAGCGTGCCCTGCGCGAGCCGCGAGAGATACGCAAACGCGCCGTACAGCACGCCGCGCTCGTCGTGGCCGAGCACGACGTGCTGCGCCGACGTCGACGCGCCCACCCAGTAGCCGTCCTCGTGCGAGAGAACCTCGGCCGCCGCCGCGTCCGCCGGTGCTGTGTGCCCGCCCTTCATGTACGCCTTGAGCGTGCCGATCACGAGCACAAGGCCGCCCGACGACGCGTTGGACAGCGGGACACTGCGGACGACCGTCACCGACTGCCCCAGAATCGTGCGGAACCCGTCCACAAGCTCGCGGCCCGCCACCGTGACCGGGCTCGTGTCGTCGCCATCGCCGAGAACCACCACCGTGTCCACTGCCGGACTGTTGGCCGCCGTCCGCGCCGCCGCCGGCAGCTCGCCGTACCGCAGCCACGCCGCCACGCCGTCTTCGTCGGGCGGTGACATGGGACGTGGTAGTGTGGTGCTTTGCAAAAACGTGTATGTCGTCCCGTACACAGAAGAGAGGGTGGGAATGTTGGCGGTCCGGAATGCCGCAGCCGTGTCTGTGTGTATGTGTGTCTGTTGTGTCTGTCTTTTGCTATTCGTTATTCTTATTTCTCATTTCTTATCCATTGTCGTTTCTTCGGTCGCCCTCCAGCCTCCCACGCATCCTGTTTTTCCGTCTCGTATGCCATTCTCCCGCCTATCCCTGCCTTTACTTCTTGCCTTACTGCCTCTGACCTTCCCCTCGCAAGCACTTTGTCTGTTTTGTCTGTTTTTCCCCGTTACAGTCGAGGAGAGGAGGTCAATAGAGACAAAGGGAAGACTAACGCAGCCTCTCGTCTTCCAGAATTTAGGCAAAATAGCCCCTGTCAACAGTAGCGCTGGTCGGCGTCAACGCTGTCCGTCATCCGTCCACCTTGCCAACGAAACGAGGACCTGGTTGGCGCGGAGGTACCTCTGTGTACATCGGCAGTTCCATTTGCTGAATCTCCACTTTACATGAATCACTAACCAAGACGGGGACTGGATTGTGGAGAGAGGACAATAGACTGGGGAATAAGAGTAAGAAAAGGAACGACAGCAAATGGCAAGAATAAGGAAAGCCATCAAGCGAGGCAGCGTCTTGAATAGCGATAGGGCTGGGGAGAGGACGGAAGAAGGACAACACGAGATTAGAAGGGACAATAAAAATGAATTTTCCTTGGTTGCTACGCACACAAATCGATTATACACGCCCGCTTTACATTGTCTCCAACAAATGCAGCGGAAACGACTTTGCCATGGCCTGGAAACCCGCCACGTTTGGATGTAAATAGTCGCCCGAGTCGTACGCCGGCAAAAGACGGCCGGCGCACGCAGGGTCCGGGTCTCGCAGCACCGCGTCAAAGTCCACCAGGCCGTCAAACAGCGCAGATGCGCCGCCGGCCGCCGCCGTCGACGACGCCCGGATCCATCCATTGACGCGCTGCCGTGTTCGCTCGCGCGCCGGCGAAGAGTACGGCTGTTTCTCCGACTCTTGTCGACCAGGCCCGCAAAACGGCGCGATCGTCGCGATAAACACCGCCAGGCCCGCCGCACGGCACCGCCAGGCCACCTCGACGAACGTGGCCATCAGCTGGTCGCCCACGTCGTGCTGTGCCGCCTCGTCCGTGTCTCCCCCTGCCGTCGTCCCAATGTCGTTGACGCCCGCAAACAAAAGGACGCCCGCCACGCCCGGCTGCGACAGCACGTCCCGGTCGAGCCGCGCCAGCAGCGCCGGCCCGCCCGTGCCCTCGCGCAGCACACAGTTGCCGCCGGCGGCTTGGTTCAACAGCGTGTACCGCGACGTCCACCCCTTGCCTTTTTCGCCGTCGTCGTCCTCCTCCTCCATTCGCTTCCACAAAAGATCCGGCCACCGGTCGTTGCCATTGTCGGTGCTGCACCGCCCGTCGGTAATGCTGTCGCCCACGAGAACCAGGGCTTTGCGGCCGCCGGCCGGCCCCGCAACACAGCACTCCTCCACGCCCGCCAGAAAGTACCAGTGCGCGACACTGCTTAGACTGTGGCCGCCGCCCAGCGACGCCGACGCCGTCTGGTCGCCGCCCTGGCACAGCCACGACTGCGTCCGGCTGCCCGGGTGCGTCGTGAGCGCAGGCGCGTCCGCGTCGGTGGCGACGTCAACGCCGTCTGCAAAGTAGAGGGTGATGGACAGCGTTTCGGTGGCGGGCCCGGACGTGGACATGGTCCTTGGCTTTCCTTGCTCTCCAAAAAGCACGTCCACGGGATCAGACAGCAGGAGACACCCAGCCGGAACCACGGCCGACCGCTGACCCGAAAACAGCACCGGCCGTACACGGTCGACGTCGACGAATCGCGAGCCAGACACGTGGGCCCCGTCGTCGTCGCCGTGGGCGGTGTCGCCTTTGCTGTCCACGTCTCTTTCATCGCCCCCGCCAGGCCGCCGCGGCACACCCACCGTCGCCGTCGTGATGTGTAGGTCGGATGCGCCAAACGTGTTGCTCAGTCGCAGCCGGAACCGCCGCGTCTGCAACTGGCTGCGCCCCCGGCTTGGGCACACGCTCGGGCCCTGCTTTGTCTCCTCCGCAAGAGGGGCTCGTCCCAGTATCCGCACAGTCTGCCGCAGCGTCGTGTCGGCAAATCGTGCATGGGCCGGCGGTGGCAGGTGGTCGGCCACCGCCCACGCCTTCTGCGGCATCGCTGTCCACACCGTAGTCCAGCCTGTCGGCATCGGCATCGGCATCGGCGTCGTCGTCGTCGTCGTCGTCGTCGTCGTCGCCATGTTGCAGAGTCTACGGTTTAAAGTCATTTGGTTCAGGGGTCCTGTGTTGTTCAACGTTGGAACCATATCGCGTCCCCAACACGTCGTGATTTGCTGTACAACTGGAGGTGTATGACTCCCCGGGTCCTGGTTCACATGGCATCGTACAATTACTGCCGGCTCCCCACCCCACCCCTCTCCCTCCCCGGCATTTCAATTTTTCAGTAAACTTTCATTTATCCTTGACCCTGGCTTCAGGTCAAGTGTCAAATGTTCGTCAGCCCTGTCACGGTTTACCTCTCTTTGTGGATCCATCTGCGACGCAGTTGTCGCTCAATCAATTTAACCGGCAACGGCGAGGAAACGGCGTGGTAAATGTGGGCCCCCAGCTAGCAAGTACATTACTTGTGTTTTCCAGCTACAGCTCACCTCTCTCGGGTTCAACTGTCTCGAGACTTGACGCTTGTTGTCTGCTTTATTAGGTACCATTCTTTGCGGCTCGTCTTCCATTATTCCACCTATAGCATGAAAGATCATAAATAAGCTGAAAAAAAAAAAAAAGAACAAAAACACCGGACCCAAAGACAAAAACACAATCTCCGCTCCCTAATACTCCTACCCCCGGCCAATGGCCAAATAATTCCTACTCTTAGTCAACTTCATGGCCTGAATGGACTAATTACCGCCACGTTATCCAACATTCTGCCGGCATACATTTTCGTCAACGAAACGTAGTTATCCATTTTTGGAAGGAGATGGGGGACAGAGCCCACCGACGGACCGGCCCGATATTGCGGGTCCTCTAGAGCTGCGAGATGTTCCGACCACGGGAACGTGGGTCGCTCTTGCCATGTCGCCTGTTTAAATCGCCAAGTCTGAGCAGACAAAGCGCGCAAAAAACAGTCAAAGGGACAAGTTGGTCTTTAAGGAGTTTATAACTGAAACAATAATTGGAAACAGGGTACAATGGATGAGATAAAAAGCAACGGGGGAAAGAAAGTACAACAACACAACAACACAGTAACATAGAAGCACATCAAATGAAAATAACTAAAGGGATCAATATAAAAAAGAAAAGAAGGAACAAACAGAAACAGACGGAAAACAAACGTAACGAAAAGAAAGAAGAAAAAAAAGGAAATAGCAGGAAACAACCGGAAGCAATGAAAGGAAAACAACTGCTGGAAAACAGCAAAACAACGGGAAACAGAAATAAGACAGAAAACGTCAAACCCAGCAATACGCCAATCCTAATCAAATCCCAGACGCCGAGGGAGGTGCACTTGCCGGCCACTTCTCGTAGTCAACTGCGGTAGCCTTCTTGCGCGGCTGCTTTGAAGGAGCGCCTCTTTTCACATTGCCGCGACGCGACTTTGTCCGTGTGTTTGCGGCTTTCGCCCCAGTCTTTGCTGTGTTGGTCGTCTCCGTGACTTTTGTTTTGGCCGTCTCTTCCGCTTTGGCCGTCTCGTCCGTCTCGTCCGTCTTCTTCGCAGCTTGTAGACGCTCCGATATGATGACACGCTGCTCCTCTAGCCACTCAAACAGCTCATTATGGCATTTGACATGGTGGTCGTGTCGGGCCTTAGCCCGCATCCGCCATGAGATGGCCGGATACGAGGGATAATTTTTTGCTCTATGCACGAGTCCCACGTGTATGTCCAAATGCATGGCCATGAATTCGAGCCAGTTTTGTAGGGCGTCCTGTTTGGTCACATCGAGCGACAGTGCCACGAGTTCGGCGGATTCTGTAAGGTTTCGCTCACGCAGATGTGTTTTGATTTCCTCGATATATTCGCGGAAACCACGCTCCGCCTCCCCAGGCCCAGGCAACACGTCGGGGTGATGGCGCTGAGAATACTGGAAATTTCCAAGTGAGTTCCAGTCAAAGAATTGGGCCCGCAGGGGCTGTCTGTCACGGTCCTTTCTCAAGTAATACTTGGCAGCCGGATTGGACTCATGGTAGCACCCCGGTGCATAGTCATAATGAAACAGGTACTTTTCGTCGACTGGGAGGCACGGCGGGCATCCGGCAGCCACAAGCTTGTCGCGAAATTGGTCCTCTTCGGCATGCATGGACCGCAGCTCGTCATCACTGACAGGGCTGGGCGGTTTGGCGTCTCCCAAGGTTAGATCATAAGTTGCTGGTGATGGGGTCGCCTCGATCTGACCGGGATCGTCAAACCGGCCTGAGCGATCCTGGTCGAATCGGTCACCAGCATCCGTGAGCTGTTGAAGTTTGTTGGTCAGGTCACCGGCGTCGGGAGCTTTGAGTAGTGCTTCTGCTTGTCTGTCAACGGGGTTGCCGACCGAGGGGGAAACAGTCAGCCGATGAATAAAACCATATACAAAGGGGGAGAACAAAGACGGAATCTATGGCCTGATGTGCATTTGTTTAATAAAACAAGTAACAGCTTACATTGCTTATGGAGAAGGGCAAGGCGCGTCTTTTCGTTGAATAGGTCATTGATGTCTATGTTAGGATCTGTGACCACGCTATGGCTGAGTTAGTGTTTTGAGGTATTTCCTCCCGTCTCTCTGTCTCTCTGTCTGTCTGTCAAGCCTGGGTATACACACGTTACTCCGTTTTGGATGGTAATTTTGCGTTCGGGATGTTTTTCTTTGTTGGGCATGATGGCTTTTGCTCCATGATCCTGGTGCGGTAACGAGTAAGGAAGAGACGTTGCCATTGTAGCTAAGGTTGTAGAGGAAAGCTGTGCTTGTTGAAAATCTTTTGTGCTGTGTGCTGTGTGCTATGTGTTGTGTTGTGTGGAGGGAGAAAAATAAAAATAATAAAACAGGAATGTAGATGAATTTGGTAAGGTGAAGTAGCTAAACCAATCGATGCACAGTCACAGGGGGATTGTCCGATGCTTTATATCCTGAAGGACGGAGGAAATAATGTCAGTGAGAAAGGCTGAGTTCTGTGAAGAAGTCTGTGAAGAGAAATGGAATAGATAGGGGACGTGAAGAGTGAAGGGAAAGGGAAGAGAGAGGAAGCAAGAAAGAAAGAGTAAGAAAGAAACAAAGAGGAAAAGCCTCGTTTAAAGAAGTAGACTAAGAAAGCAAATAAGGGCACAAAAATACTATATTTATAAAATTGTAAATATAAGCACAAGGAGGAGGAGAAGGAGGAGGAGAAGGGCGACGAGAAGGACGACGAGAAGGACGACGAGAAGGACGACGAGAAGGACGACGAGAAGGACGACGAGAAGGACGACGAGGAGAAGAAGGAGAAGGAGAAGAAGGACGGGGAGAAGGAGGACGGGGAGAAGGAGGACGGGGAGAAGGAGGACGGGGAGAAGGAGGACGGGGAGGAGAAGACGCACAAGATGGAAGATGGAAAAGGCGCTATCCGCAAACGGAAGAGCGGAACCGACTGTGTGAAAGAGCGGAAAAGTGTAAGCAAAATTGGAAAAGTCAAAAGTGAAAGAGCGGCAGAGTGAAAGAGTGAAAAAGCGAAAAAGCGACAGAGTGAAAGAGTGAAAGAGAGAAAGAGTGAAAAGCTACAGAGTGGAAAAGCGACAGAGTGAAATGACAGAGAAAGAGAAAGAGTGAAAAAGTGAAAGAGTGAAAGGAATGGGCGGAAAGGGGTAAGAGCGGACTACCCTTTGACCGCTAATATTGACTTTGCCAACATTGCCAGCAACGAGGCCAAATTCAGTCATTTTTTGGTCTATTTTGTGTGTTCGTCAACCATATATCTACCAAAGAACGTCACAAAATGAGATGGAAACCAAACAGCAAGGCCCACACAGAGCATGCCTGTGTCTCAGCTGCATGGCCCGCAGGCTCTGTGCCCACAATAAATGATACATGCATCCTTCCTGATTGGTCCTTCCGTTACATTTTGCTCTTCACTCCTTTCTGTCTATCTGTCGGTTCTATAAGTCGTACTGCATCTTGAAATCGATACATCGTAACCATTTTTCCCACCTTCCTACCCCTACATCATAAGTCTAGACGTGCCATATTGACGTGGCGTCCATCGTGCCCCCTGAACCTGCAATGAAGAAAGGGGAATGTCGCTGCGAGTGTCCACTTTGGAACGTCCATATGGAACGACCATGTTGGAACATCCACGGCATGGCCGACCGACACAGGCCAGCTCGCGTATGCCGCAGCACGAGCCTCTCCTGGCAATATTTTCCATTTTTCTTGTTTTCATGTCTTGCATGTTTTGTACGCTTTGCACCTTGTGCGTACTTTGAGTATATATTAATGGCCTTTCGTGGTCGTTGTTGGACACTCGGCATATTCCCTATTGAACCATCATCACCTTCATCAGCCTCATCAACATCATCAACCTCGTCATCTTCAACTTCAACTTCTCTGTGCGTTTTTCCTGTTATCTGCTTCCTTTCCAGTCATGCCTCGTCTTGCTCCTCCCACGGTTGAACCCGACATCTTTGCACGGATTATCGACAAGGGTGGACATGCCCTACATGCCATGCGGTACGGGCCAAACGAGGCAATCTTGGTTGGCCAACAGAGCAGCACGTATTATAGCAGCAGAGACAAGTCGGACCAGCTGGAGCTCCGTTTCAGCCGAGGCTTAACAAAGCCCAAAGAAAAAGAATGGCTGTTTGGCACACTGGGCGGCCAGTCAGACGTCTTTGTCTTTTCCCTGGCCGGCACCACGGACGCCAGCAAAACGCGCACGATGCGCTCGCGTGTTTGCCGACAGCAGCACTTTGGCCTGTTCATTACGCCGGATCTGCGCATCCACGTCCGCTACTTGGACATGGGTTGCACCATCGGTCGCACCCACACGGATCACAAAACGAACAACAGCAATGTCTCGTGGCACCATGCGCGCAAGATTGGCGAGACGGCGGTTGTGTACCGGGGGCCGTTCGAGGAGCAGCTGTGGGAAACGGTTGACATCCGTGTGAAGGATGCCAAGATGAACTGGACAGCGACATTCGAGATACAGTTTCCGAACCACGATGACGATATGGCGTCGGACGCGTATCTGGCCAATCTTCAAGCTTGGGCCAAGACGCCTGTCATCACAAGAATGACCGCCGTCGCGTCCATGGCCGGCACGTCGGTGCTGCAGACGAACCGCGACAGCGATCGCGTCTACAGCCGGCAGCTTGACGCGGGCGCTTTTGGGCAAGTGCAACTCTGGATGGATCTCGATACGGGCGACATCGGGGCGCTGAAGCAGCTCAAGGACGGCCTGAGCGACAGCGCGTTATGGGACTTTCAGCAAGAAATTCAATTTATGAGCAGATTCGACCATGTACGTTTTACGTTTCTTGTCCCTCTCTTCTCTTTTCTCTTTTCTCTTTTCTCTTTTCTCTTTTCTCTTTTCTCTTATCTCTTTTGTCTCATTTCCCTTTGTCCACCTATGCTTTTTTTCTTTGCTAATATGCCCACGACGTTCTCCTTTCGCCTCTCTCTCTTCTCGCTCGCAGGAACATGTCATCAAAGTGATTGATTTTCAACAAAAACCCGTGGCACGCGTCTTGATGCCATACTACTCTCTCGGAAATATTGGCAGGTACCGCCTCCGTCAGGACCAGTGCATTAAGGCCTTGGAGCAGCTGTTGCAGACCCTCGACTACCTTCACGACGTGCATCACATCGCCCATCGTGACCTCAAGCCGCAAAACATCTTGGTCGCCAGCCTCGATCCCATCCACATTGTCCTGTCTGATTTTGGGCTGTCCAAAGAGGCGCACTCCCAGAAATTGATGCACTCCTGGGCCGGCACCGACAGGTACATGGCTCCCGAAATGTTTTCGACGACTGACGGCTACGACTTTCGCGCGGACGTCTGGTCTGCCGGCGTCATACTTCTGGAGTGGGCGCACGGCCTACCCGCCTTCAACGTGCCTTTCACACGCGGAACGGCAAAGGAGTGGACCGCCCAGTGGACGCAGATGGTCGTCGATGTCGTTGTCATGCACCGTGGCATCATGGACATTGGCATTTTCAAGCTTCTCAGCCTCATGCTGGTCATAGAACCGGGTACGCGCCGCACTGCCGGGCAGTGCTTGGATTTTGGTGTTTCACACGGTCTCTTCTCCCAGCCGTCGCAGGCCGCTGCCGCGGCCGCTTCTGCCAACACGGGCAGCGTCGGCCCTGGCCATTCCGGCCATCATGGCCTTCTGGCGTTCCTGGCCTCGCTCATGACACGGTCAATTCTACGGTGTCTGGGTCCTCAGCATCCGTATCAACTGGTTCGTCATTCCCAGACTTGGCATCTGCTGGACTTGTGTCGGCAGGATCTGCGTCCGCACATCTCTCGAGTGCTGTCCAGGTTCACCAGTCGTCGCTCTTGGACAAAGTCATTTCCGGCGGCATCAGCAATAAGTCCCGGTCGCGGTGTATGCGGCAAAGTGCGTCGAACTACGAAAGCGAAAAATGGTCCAACATATCTCTTGGCAGCAAGGAAACATGATCAGATGGAGGATGATTGGATGGTTGTAGGTGGACCGCTGCGAGTAGGTGGTGTCCAGATTGCCAGACCTTCCCCCCCCCTGTTTTTGCCTTTGTCTCTTTTAACTGTCTTTGTTTTTGTGCATCTTTGTTTTTCCTTGAGTTTAATTCTTGACCAGTTTGCATGTTGTTTGCCTCTGTTTCCGTTTTCGTCATTCACTTTCTCTCGTCGTCACCAACATCTCGATTTCCCATTCTCCCGCCACTCATACTTCTAAATACGTAGCTTTACAAAGGAAACTGGAAGCCACCGTCGTTTCAGCTTTCTGCCGGCCAAACTCGCAGCGACATACTCAATGTCAACAAACGCTCGGACCAGCAACAACACGGACAGAATATTCTGTACGAAATACATGTACGTGTATGTTTCGCATGCCCCATGCACCATTAAAAAAGCCATATTCTGATCATTAAGGAGTTAATCCACGTGGTCTGATTTCACTGCTTAACATAGAGCGGCCTTGGAGTCACCGTCTGCTTTGCGTCTCCCTGTGGATCGATCTGATCGGCAGACATCGGCGCTAACTGTTACTAAACCAGGCAATTGGGTCCAGTCTGCTGCATGGTTCTCATATCAACCGGCAAGGCCATCTATCTACGAGGCGACAATCAATGTGCCCTGCCGCCGAAAAGACACGCCGCTGAACAAGGTCACCGTTTCGACCGGAAACCCTGTTTCTGGTACTGGTCGAGCAGGTCGCCGGTATGGAGGTAGATCCGCGATGTTTGCTTTTAAGTCTTGTTTGCGTGAGTGTTGGATGTTGGTTTCCATTGTCAGTTTGGTCATCTCTGCTGTTTCAGTTGAATATTTAATTGTATCTAGTTGTACGTATGTGGCATCCCCATCCTCGCCGTGGCGGGTGGCGTGAAAGTAAATCAAAAGTCACAGTGTGTTGAGAACTGAGTGAACAAAATGAATACAAGAAAATTACGACCGAGCCGGGCAACGGATTACCGAAAGACTTTCCTTTTTTTTTTTTTTCTATTTTTAACCCCGTCACCGTGTCTTTACCGCATCTTCGCGTGTTCGTGGGTGCCAAAGAAGGCCACGCCCGCCCTAAGCTGGCGCGAACTTCTGCCGGGATGCGCCCATCCGCAGCGCTTCTCGGGGCTCAAACTACCCATGCTCACTGCAAACATCACCGCAACTGACCCTCTGAACACCAGCGGAGTTCCGTCTCCATCTGCACAAGGGAGGCCGAAGGAAAGGGGCGATGCAGGAAGACGAACAGGCGAAGAGGAGACACAACAAAACAGCGAGACGACGCGGAGCGTTTGTGGCGCACGCAACAAGGCCGGAGCGGACGAGAACAGACGCTATCGTGGCAGGTCGTTTGCTTGTCGGTTCATGCATGTTTTTGTCGTCAAACAACCCCAGGTATTTGTCGCCTTTCACACCTTCCTTCTCTGTACACCATCTCTTTCCTCGCCTGCCTCTTCGCTATTGACGTTTGCAAACAGCCCCAAAATGGTTACTTGCCACACAAAGGCACAAAGACACAACAATAACAGTCTTCTTCTTCACCCTCAGACTCAACACCATCCATCCGAGCAAACAATGCCATACATTGCAGCGCTGACAGTCGAGCAGCATGCCACCGGCTTTGGCTTCGGCACACCGTCGCCACGGCTGTTGTGGCGCTTTATCTTGGCCGAGAAAGAGAAGGAGGTGGCTGAAGACGACTGCGACTGCGACTGCGACTGCGACTGGGCACAGTCAGCCTACGACGTTGAAGTGCAGCGTCAGGCCGAATCTGCAGTATGAGCACCTGGGCTGGAGGGGCGACCTCCAGCTTCCTTTACAACACGGCCGGCATGCGGCACGCTGAGCGCCGAGCAGCTGCTGGACACCTCCGACGGCGTGACCCCCCCCCCCCCCCCTCCCCGGTTGTGTCCAACATTCTGCAGACGCTGTGGCCACACCTGCCGCTGGCCGTTTGGGACGATGTGGCCGTCCTGACGCCCTGGGACCGCTACCGCGCCTTTGGCGATGTCGCGTTCTTGTCCCGCCAGTACGAGAGCATGGTCGCCTGGATCGACCGCGGCGTGCCCCGCGGCGCCGACGGTCTCTGGCTATCGACACAGCCGCCAGCTTGGCGACTGGCTCGACCCGACCACACCGCTCGACAAGCCCCAGGACACGCGCTCCAGCGGCGCCCTTGTGGCTGGTGCGCACCTTGTGCGCGTCAGGGCGCCACCACCATCTGGGGGCGCTGGGACAACATTCTGTCCGACGGCAGCATCGACCCGGGTGTGACGACGAGCTTCAACCAAGACTCCCTGGGGCTCCGTCATCCACTGGCTGCACGAGAGCGTCGCCGGTGTGCGCTGCGTGCGTCCTGGCTGGCGCACCTTTGCCGTCAGCCCCACCCCGGGCGGCACCACTTTGAGAGCACTTGGAGCAACCTGACGGCGTGGCCGCCGGCGCCGATCAGGGGACAATTTGATTCAGACGATGGGAGGACACGATTGCGTAGGGCGGAGGAGGCACGCAAGGCAAACAACATCGGTTTTGCTGCCCGAATTGCCCGAATAATCCGTCGGGAGTAAGTATGACACACCCGTCCACCGTTTCAGAGAAGGAATGCGTAGTCAGACTATATAAATTGGGCTGACTTTTGCCATTGGATGCAGAGGTCAGCCAGGATTTTGTATTTTAGTATGCGACGCAAGCCAAGGAAAAGCGTGAGATAAGATGCAACGCAACGCATAACATGCGTAGGCAGGACTTGGAAATGTTGTGCTCCGTAGTAAATACGAAATCCGAGAGAATTCGCACTAGCAAAACGGTATGTTGCAAAACAACATACGTTGTCAATCGTCAGTGTCTTCAATACGACGTCTTGAGGCTGCTGTATTCTGTCTGCCGGACATAACAGCCTCGTCTGTCCTGGCGCCTCTGCCCGGAATCTCGGAATTGAACGAGTCATGCCTGTTGGACTTGGGCGGTATTGGTCAGTGCAGCGAAGGAGCAGTTATGCTTTCCCGCATAACGGCGACATGTGCTTCTTGTTAATCTCTCGGCGACTTTTGAAAGGAAGAGGAAAATAATTAAAACAGAAAATAGACAACAGAAAAACACTAGCGCTTGTTAGCGCCTGTCTGGTAAGATACGCTTCTTGGCACCTGTCAGCCAAAATACAGCGCCCGTGACTCCGAGCCGCCCATACATGTACGCTGGACGGATGAATCCCGACCGCTAATCCTTCGGGGCACGACTCGAACCCCGTTCCAACAGGCTCAGCCCTGTTTGCACTAGTCGACTCTTCCGCCGTCCATCGTCCTTAAGTCCACGATGCTTGCCTACCGTCCCCACATGACGCCCATCCTCCGCCCATCCTCCGCCCATCCTTCAGTTCCATCCTCCTCCAGATCCTTCCTCCTTCCGCCACTTTTTTGACCACCATTCGCGCCGCTGTTTCACACCGGGGCATTTCTCTCTCGTAACAGATTGAAGCCCGCGACAAGACACTCTGTTTCGTATCTCCCGTGCGCGCTTTGCCACATGTGGCCTGCCTCGGATCGCTGATCGCTTCAGTTAAAATGGCTCCACCGCCACTCGTCACCATGGCCGCCCAGGCCCCCATAACTCGATGCACCTCCAACGAGAACAACGACGTGATCATTGACTTTGGCGACGTCGAATATTCATCTGCCTCCTCCACGATGGCCGACGACACACTCCCGCCCCCGGCCGGCTTGGCCGCCACTGTTGTCCGTGACGCCATCGAAATCGACTTTGACAGCGCTGCCCGTGCCGACGGAGCACCATCGTCCGAGGAGGAGGCCTCGACTGCCACCGACCCGGCTTCCACAGAGTCGTCTGTGACCTCGACCTCGACCTCGCCCACTCCAAAAGCTCGTCGCATACCATTCACATCTGCCGAGCGTCTCGCCAAAGCCACGCCCGATGTCGTGCCTGACGAGCCTGTACTGGTAGCCAAGTACTTTGCCCAGACACAGATACAGACAGAGACACAGACAGAGACTGTTTCCGAGAAGACGGCGCTGCTAGCAAGCGAGTCGTCGGCCGGCCCTACCGACGAATCCACCATTCTCTACCTCGCCTATGGCTCCAACATGGCCGCTTCCACCTTTGAAGGCGCGCGCCGCATCAAGCCGCTGTCATGCGTCACCGTCTCCGCGCCGACGCTGCGGCTGACGTTTGACCTACCGGGTGTGCCGTACCGCGAGCCCTGCTTTGCCAACACGGCCATTCGCCGGCCGCCCAAGACGCCGCCCAAGATCCCGGACCTCCCGGACCTCCCCGTTCCTGTCCCACCAGGGCCGCCACGAAATCCGCCACCAAAGGTTGGCAGCCACGGCGATCCCATCTGGGACGGCCCGCTCTATGGCGTCGTCTACGAGGTGACCGCCGAGGACTATGCCAAGATCATTGCGACCGAGGGCGGCGGCGCGTCGTACCAGGAAATCCTGGTGCCGTGTCTGATGGTGGCACCGCGCATGGGCGTGCCCGAGAAGCCCGTCGTGCCCGTGCCGCCGCGGCCCTTTTTGGCCCGCACCCTCTTTGCGCCGCAGCTGCCGGCCGACAAGAAGGCGGTCGGTCAAACGGAGGGCGAGGACGATGACGGCGACGACGGCGATGACGACGACAACGGAAGCGGGCTCACCCGCCGGTGGCGCGCCTTTGTCCGCCGCCTCGTCCGCCTCGCCACCGTCCGCCCCCGCCCCGACCCGGAGTACGCCCAGCCGTCCCAGCGCTACCTGGGTCTGCTGACCTCGGGCGCCGCCGACCACGAACTACCCCAGGCCTACCAGGACTGGCTCGCCAGCCTGCATCCCTACACCATCACCTCGCGCCGCCAGGCCATCGGGAGCGTCCTGCTGCAGGCCGCCGCGCTCCCGTTCCTCCTGCTGGTCCTCGCCGCCGGCCGGATCCCCCGCAAAAAAGGCAGCTCGGGCCGCATGCCGCTGGCCATGCTCATCGCCGTGGGCCTCATCTTTGGGGGCGTGTGGTGGCTGTACGACCACGTCTTCCGCGTCGTCTTTGGCGACGGCGAGCGCACGCAGCCGACACCGGGGGATGCAAAGGGAGGAGACGCGAAGAGAGTCGACGAAAGAGGCGATGAAAAGAAGAAAATAAAGGGGTAAAGAAGGTAGAGGGCATAGGGCAGAGGGGAAGGAACGGAGGTGCTGCGACGGCTGACGGCTATGCTGCTTATTGGTGTGCTTTTACGTCCGGTGAAACCATTGCTTTTTTCTTTTTTTTTTCCACTTTACTTTCTTGGCTGTCAATCTCAACAATGTACGATTTAATCTACGGCGTAATACGGATGGCATGACGATGTTTTAGCCCTGTTTCCTGCATATGCATATGCTACTAAACGGTGTGCAACGAGATGCAAAGTGACAGAACAGGCAAGTAAAACGGCTCAGTACGCATATTGTTGGGACCGCACGATGCGCAAGCACGGTAATGGGGAAGGAGCGACCACCGGTCTGTTGTTGTTGCTAGTTTCTGTGTTTTGATCGTTCCTGCCGTTTGCAGACCAACAACGCGCTTGCATTGGCCATCTTCTTATTTCCCTCCGTCCCACCAGTTGTTCTTTTGTCCAAACACTACAACGTCAATGTGCCACACAACAACTCCAGCAATAACTCCAGCAACAGAAGCTCCAGCAGCACTGCGGTCGGCCGACGCGGTCCTCATATAGAGAAACACAGCTGTCTCAAGAGCAGAAAGCGGGCGCCGAAGCGTGAGCTGAAGTGAGCCGAAGTAGGCCTTGCAAAGGTCTTGCGGTGGCGCTTTCATCTCGCCCCGAACAGCGCCCTGAATCCATTCTTCGGACGTATTTTCGAACGGGACTCGGTATGTACGCCCATTGCCATGGCCAAGACATGGTCTGCAGGCGCAGGACAATCCGCTGCGGCGGCGACCACTATCTACGGACATCAAAGGAGACAGTGCCAGGCCGTATTGCACCCGCGTACAACCATTCGACTCACCAATGGTTTGGGTTCGAACCAGGAATAGCTCCATAGCCAGCACGGACCATTTTGTGTGGAAAAAGGACTTGAGGGAGAAACATGATATACACGAACACATGGTATACTCTAATAGAAAAAGACAAGAAGACGATGGGACGTGAGACGTGAAGACGATAGAAGCAGTCGGAAGAAGGGCAGGGGCAGTTCGGAAGTGGTTGGGGAATGGGACGTAGAGAGCAATGCAAATCCTAGTCAAAAGAATCCGGCACAAAGTCATGGTATCAATCAGATCACCCATCACCGTCTCGCTCCTGTCTGCAGCATATTCTGATGGCGGCTGTTGTTTACGACGATATGTCCTGCATGACGATTGGCTGAAATGGTAACGTGACGCTCGGCGGGCGAGACGGAGAACGGACTTTGGGTGGCGTTTGGCTATGGCCGCCGGGATCCTGTCGTCTGCGGGGTGGCTCCTTCCTGCAAAGCTGCTCCTTCCTGAACTTCGGACATTGCGGCGTTACAGTGCACTTAAAAGACTTGACTTCCCTGAGCGAGGTAATTGTATCTGGACCTTGATTTATCCCGTGGATGGTCTCCAGAGCCGGCATAGATTTTGTAGGTCCATCCATTGGCCCTCATCTCGTCTCATCCACATAAGCAAACGCACACTCGCACCCCCAGCCTCACCATGTCCAAGCTTATTGTCGTGACTGGTGCGACCGGCAACCAAGGCGGCTCTGTTGCAGCGACCTTTCTGGGTCTGTCCGGTTGGAGAGTCCGTGGCATCACGCGCAACCCCGACTCGGCCAAGGCCCAAGCCCTCAAGGCGGCGGGCGCCGAGGTGGTCCGGGCCGACCTGGGCGACAGCGACACGGCGGCTTTACGGGCCGCACTGGACGGCGCCCATGCCATCTTCCTGAACACCGACTTTTGGGAGACTTACCGGCCGGCGGCGGCGACGCTGTTGTCTGCGGGCAAAGACCCTGCGGCGGCCGGCCGTCTTGCGTTTGACCACGAGACCAAGTGCCGCAAGAACGTGGCAGACGTGGCAGCGACGCTGCCGACGCTCGAGCGGCTGGTGGTGTCGAGCTTGACGTCTATCGTGGGCGGCTCGCTGTTCCTGTCGGATCCCCACGCCACCACGCGCGCGTTCCACCCCGAGGCCAAGAACTGGGCCGTCGAGTACATTGAGACGCAGCTGCCGGCGCTGGCAGCCAAGCTGTCCGTCATTGTCCCCTGCGCCTACAACACGAACCGCCTCATGGTTCCGCGCAGGGCGACGCCGACGGCTACGACGGCTACGACGACGACAACAACAACCCCCGCAGGCATCTACCAGTTCGTCTCCCCGCTCAAGATAGACATCCACCTGCCGACCATTGACCCGGCCACGGGCACGGGCGCGTTTGTGCGCTGTCTCGTGGAGGACGAGCCGGCCGGCACAAAACTGCTGGCGTATGACAGCAACCAGACGCTGGGGGACCTTGTGGACGTGTTCCGGCGCGTGACGGGCACCAACGAAGCGACGGCCGTGGTGGTGCCCGTGTCCACGGCTGCGCTCGTGCGGATGGGCCAGTCGTGGGTGGTGCTGGCGACAGTCGACTACATCAACGAGCACGACGCGTACGAACGGGGCGAGCCGGGGTTTGTCCGGCCGCACCAGCTGCAACACCCGCCGGCGCGGCCGTCGTACGAAGACTGGGCCAGGACGGTCGACTGGGAGAAGCTGATTGCAGGTGAAGCGTAACTGACAGGGGGGAGGTCGGGCTACAAGTCAGAGTACAAAAGCATAAAAGACAAAAGTGTAAGAGAATCATGAAGAATAAATAAACATTACTGTGTCTACGACTGTCTAGAGTAGAGTGAAGAGAGGATGATAAAACATATGTCAAAAGCAGAAAGCAAGGCTATCTAAGAGCATGGTATACGCCGTAAAAAAGACTGAAATGAAGGAGAGGAAATGTGAACAAGACAAGAGTGGCCGTGCGTGCGTTTATGGCCGTGCAAAACGCGGAAGCGCTGCGAAACTAGCTGTGCGGAGACGCGACGTCTAGTGGTCCGTCTCCGATCCGACCGACCGCTTCTCCTCGGCGCCCACCGCAGCAACACTGGGGACAGCGGTTTCGCCGTCCGTGACCGCCTCCTTCTGCATGTCGTTGTCGCTCCCGCTGCCGCCGTGCCGCGCGGCAGCCTCGTCCACTACCTGCTTCGACTTGCGGATGTCGTTGAAGCCCATGCCCCAGGCCGACAGGAAGCAGACCAGTGACACGGCCAGCACCATGTAAAAGACAATGTCGAGGCTGTCCGAGTAGGCCCGGAGGACGCCGGGGAGCTGGTCGGCGGAGACGATCTTGCGGAAGCCCGTGGCGCCGGCGAGGAGGATGGCTTTGGCGTCGGTGGTGGGGGCGTACTTGTGGAGGTTGGCGGTCAGCTTGGTGTCGAAGACGGTGTTGAACAGCGTCAAGAAGATGGAAGGGCCGAGGTATTGGCACCAGACGACAAAGGCCATGCCGGCAGAGAGCTCTTCGGGGGTGACGGCGTGCTGGATGGCGACAATGGGCTGGGGCGTGCGTTAGTGAGAACGAGCGAGGGGGGGAGGAGAAAGAACAAGAAAGACAAGGGACACCATACCATTTGGAAACCGACGCCGCGGCCAAAGCCAGAGATGATCTGGAAGCCGACCCAGTTGGCCTCGGACGTGCCGGGCTGCAGCAGCGTGTAGAGGCCGCTACCGACGGAGAAGAGCAGGGCGGCCGAGACGGAAAAGACCGGGACGTAGCCGACCTTGGCGACCAGGATGCCCGATGACACGGCGCCCAGGACCTGGGGCAGGATGGTGGCCAGCATGTAGACGCCACTCATGATGGCGGTGACGCCCTTGACGGCCTGGAAGTAGATGGGCAGGAAGAAGGCGGCGCCAATGACGCCCGTCGTCAGAAAGGCGTAGTTGACGCCGCTCATCCAGACGCGGCGGCGGCGCACAATGGGGAAGGGCAGCAGGGCCTCGTCACCTTTGTGGTAGTTCCAGGCGATCCAGACCAAAAAGGTGGCGCCGGCGCCGACAAACAGGCCAATGACCTGCGACGAGTGCCAGGCGAATTGGTTGCCGCCAAACTGCATGGCCAGCAGCAGCATAATGATGGCGGGCGCAAAGAGGGCGAAACCGATGAGGTCCAGGTGGCGGTGCAGCTGGCGGACGACGACCATGGGCGGCTGCTTGGGGGCCTGCTCGGGGATGCGCAGAAACACGAGGGGCGCGGCGACGATGAGGCCCAGCGGCAGGTTGATGTAGAAGCACCAGCGCCAGGTGTAGCCCGTGGTAAAGGCGCCGCCGATGAGCGGGCCGAGCACGATGCCCAGCTGGGCGATGCCGATGACGATGCCCGTCAGGGGCGGCCGGCGCTCCAGGGGCACGGAGGCGTAGACCATGGTGAGGGCGCCGTTGATGAGGCCGGAGGCGCCAATGCCCGAGACGGCGCGGCTGATAATCAGCATCGCCGACGACTGGGCGGCCCCCGACAGCGCCGAGCCCAGCTCAAAGACAAAGAAGAAGGCGATGAAGGACCACTTGAGCGAAAAGTGCAAGAAGATCTTGCCCGTCAGCAGCTGCAGCACAACACTGCCGAGCTGGTACGACGACGCATACCAGCCGACGTCCTTGAGCGAGTGGAAGTCGTCGGTGATCTTGGGGACGGCCGTGGACACGACGGAGTTGTCGAGGAGGATCAAGAAGCAGGCGAGGGCGAGGGAGAGCAGCATAAGGAAGAGCTTGATGCCGGTGACCTGCTCATACTGGCCCTGGGGCTGGTTGGACACCGGTTCGATGTCGACGGCTGGGACAGCGGTGGGGACAGCGGCGGGCGCCGTCACGGCGTCGGCGATGGACGGGTCTCGTTGCTGAGCGCTGTCCGCTTTCTCGTCGAGCCCGGACGCCACAGCAGGCCCGTCCCGAAGCTGGGTGTCAGTCATGGCTGTCGGTGGCGGTTGGGGGCAATGTGGATGGTGACACAATGTATAAGACGGGGGCTAGAGAAAAAAAGAGATATAAATTCAAAGAGAAAAGACAGAAAGGAAGGATGAGGCGGAGCAAGGACGTCAAGAGAACGGAAGCGCGTTGTCTTATACGGCTAGAGACGACGTGCGAGACGAGCACACAAGGTCGACCGGCCGGGCTGACTGAGAAAAGAAGCAAAATAGGCAAAAGCCAAGGGGAATGGATGGAGATGGATGGAGTCGCTGACAGATCGGGCCACCCGTAATTCTTTGAAACCTCCGTAATCCGTGCAGGAGACAGGACGACCGGGTTTGGCACACAAGTTACCGTGCGTGTCAATTGTACGAGCCAGCCGTTTCGTTACGGTTGCTGTGGACGGGTAAGAAGTCCCAGCGTCCCAGCGTCCCAGCGTCTCAGCGTCTCAGCCCTAGTTGATGGGGCCAGAGAGATGGATGGTGTGAAGAGAGACGGTGAGGGACGACAGAAGAAAACGATAACGAGCGTAGAAGGCCACAAGAAACAACGCGAACGAAAAGAGTCACGTCGCGAGAGGGTGTGGGCATAATTATGTCATTATGTCAAGCATAACGGGGAGTCGGTGCTTATTTTGTGTCGGTGTGTCTGGCTGCGCCGTTTGTCTTTTGTTCGTCTACTCTTGTCTCCGGCACCTCAAAAAGTATCCGACAAGTCCGCTTTGGCTAGGACGGACATGGCTATTGAGCCGTAGGCAGCCTGCCGTGTGGAAACGATGGCAAGTCCCTTCCCCAAAAAAGAAAACAGTCCATAAAGCATGGAAATGAGGCGAGGAGATAAACCAAAAAACCGTTCAGCTTAAAGTCAACAAAACGATCCGGCGTCGAGAGGAAATTGACATTGACGCCGGATCGCAAAAGGGGAAAGGCTGTGCATTCCGAAAATGTTTGAAAAATGGGCGCGAAGACAACACACACACGAGGTCGACAAGGTCGACATACAAAAAGCACTGATGGGCGCAAGAGCCGGCAAAGCGGCAGCACAACCTGTCAGACAGAGATCGGTGGTTGTACCTTTGCGAGTCTTGTAGTCGAATGGTAGTCATTAGTCGATTTTCTCACCCATTCACGCAAACATCGACGCTGTAAGATATTACTTCATTTGCGTCGTAAATGCCCGTGCTGATTCTGCTTTCGCCGTGGTCAAAAAGACTGTATGCTACTGTTGCTGCCAGTGAGACGCCAGCCGACTCATAATCCTTTGGAAACACGCACTGCTCGTAACCCTATTGCTCTTTTCTCTTGTCCGCCAATCTCACGGCAATCTACTCTGGGTATGTCGTAAGATACTCTCAATGTCAGAGTCAGAGCCAGTGTTAGTATGCCCCTTTACGGCGCCGTTTCGCGCGCCTTGCAGTCACTGTAGGGGTCCGTGACGGCATCTTTCCTGGTTAGGAAATCAAACCGCGTTGTTGGCCTGCTTGGCAGGTCGACTCAGCCTAAAGAGCTCAAGAACGAATTGCTGCAACTTGTCAACAACACCAAAACGTGCTCGACACAACGCGCCCTGCGACTGGACCCTGACGCCTTCCACGAGCGGCCACGCAAGCTCCGACCCGGATACGGACGACGCGAGATCGTAACGCCGGTTTGTCCGTATTCTCCGCCATGGTGATGGGCTGGAGTGGGCAACGTTGCGAGCAGTTGAAAAGACGCTACACTGGCGACGGATGCCGTTCTGATTGGCCGTCTCCAGCCGTGCAGCCGTGTCAGATCGAAATGGGTCCAGTTGGTTCGTCTCCACTTTTAACCCCATTTTAGCGCTAGCTCGACTGACTAATCTGACACGGAACCGGAACCGGGACCTAAAAACAAGGACATCCCGTGTCCGCCGCACTTTGAGGAGCCCGAACGAGCGACGTCTTACACCGCCGGCACCACTGACACCCCTGTCAAGGCAGCTCAGCCCTATTCCACGCCACGAGGTTTTACAGGATCTAGATAAACAGAACCGGTGCCCCGACGGTCTTCAGCATTGGCCGTACGGGACCAGCACAGAAAGCCCAGAAAGCCCAGGAGAGCAGTTTCGTTTGTCATTGCAACTCGTCGACCCCTTACCAAGCGCACTGGAACACTCTGGAAGCTGTCCGGACAAGGAGTTTACTTGATTCTGTTGTTTTGTTTGCCATCCGGCCGTTCGTCGCGCCGTTAATACTGGCCAGTTGACACGGGGTTGCTCCTGCCACTTACACCGGCGCACTTGCCTAATCCACGCAATCCACGCACCTGCAGCGCACCTTCCACAACCTCCACTATGATTCATCTACTAAGCGAAAGCCGGTCATCTAGGTCGCCCGGGACGGAAGGAACGCCACAAACTGCACAGTCACGGGCTTCACAGCCACAGGGCACACAGTTAACCCAACCGCCACAACCGCCACAACCTACACAGCGTGCACCATCGCCAGCTGACGCGGGCTCTGGTTCCGCTGCCGCAGGCCGCCGCACGCGCGCCAACAAGGCCTGCACCAACTGCGCCCGCATCAAGTGCAAGTGCATCCCACGCGCCGGGCTCGGCGTCGACGGCTATGGGTGCGAGCGCTGCCACCGCCTCGGCAAGACGTGCGAGCCGTCCTTGACGGTGGTGCCGTCACCCAGGCGGGCACGGCCGGCGGCGCGGTCGGCCACCACTGCCCGCGTCAAGCCGTCCAACTCGCGGTCGGCGCGGCTCGAGGCCAAGCTGAACGATTTGGTGGATCTGCTGCGGACGTCGCAGGCCATATCCGAGCCGGCTGTCGCTGCGGCGTTGGCAACAGACGGCGGTGCGCGTCCGAACCACGCCGCCGGCCCCTCGGAAGATGACGCCGACGGAGACATCGACACGTCGCCGCGGTCGAACCTCACCGGCGCTGCGTCTGGTGCCGCCTCGACAGCGCCCACAACGGCACCGGATCCCGATCCGGGCTCTGAAGCCGATGACGCCCTCGACAACCCCGACCACGACGCGCCGCCCGAAACGGACGACGACGACGACCTGCTGCCCCACGAGGCCGAGGCGTGCCTGCGCCGCTTCACCGAGGAAATGCTACCCCTCGCGCCCTTTCTATACCTCCCGCCCGACGTCACGGCCAGCCGCGTGCGACGCATGTACCCCTTTCTGTGGCGCTGCATCAAGGCCGCCGCCAGCGTCCACCCGGGCCACCGCGTCCGCGCCGCCTCCCAGGCGCGCACGGCCATCGTGCAGCGCGTCGTGTCGCGGGGCGAGCGCAGCATGGACATCTTGCTGGGCATGCTGACGTTTGTCTCGTGGGTCCATCTGTCCACCAGGGACCGGTTCCACCGCAACTTTGCCACGGTGGTGGCCCAGCTGTCGGTCTGCGTCGCCTGGGACCTGGGGCTCACCATGCCGCCGCTGCTGGAGCCGGCCGCCACGGCCGGCGAGCGCTTCGTGCCCGTCGTGCAGATCCCCGGCCTCCCCGCCTCCATGTGGAAGGCCCAGCGCAGCATGGAGGAGCGCCGCGCCGTCCTGGGCGTCTACCTCGTCACGGCCACCGCGTCCCAGATGTTCCGGTCCGCCGACGGCATGCGCTGGTCGCCCTACCTCGACCAGTGCCTCGCCCAGCTGGCCCAGGAGTCGACCGTGCCGCAGGACGCCATACTCGTGCAGCACGTTAAGATGCAGCTGCTCATCAGCCAGGTGCGCTACGCATCGAGCAACGGTGCCAGCGGCGGCCGTGATGGCTTTGGTGGTGGTGGTGCCGGTGGCGGTGATGGCGGCGGGGGCCATGTCGGCGCCGGGGCCGGGGCCAGCCTGTACCGGTCGTTTGGCAGTGGGCCGACGAGCCTGCCGGGACCCTACATGGACGCGCTGCGGGCCCAGCTCGACGACATTGTCGGGCTGCCCAGCGTCGACGGCACCTGCCCGGCCTTTGACAACTTCAGCACGCACAGCCTGTATCACTTTGCCATGCTGGCCATCCACGAGTCGGCGCTGGCACGGCTGCCCGCTAGAACGTCGACGGCCACCTCCGGCTCCGGCTCCTCCGCCCTGGGGAGCGGCACGTGGGTCCTGCCCGACCTCCACCGCTTCGAAATCTACCAGCGATGCCTCGCCTCCGTCCAGGCCTGGCTCGCCCGCTTGTTTGCCTGGCCGCTGCCCTGCTTTGTCTGCCTGCCCAACTGCACCTACCTGCAGCTGTTTTATGTGATTGTCTGCCTGCACAAGCTGAGCACGCTGCGCGACCCGGCGTGGAACGTCGAGGCCGTGCGCGGCGTGGTCGATCTGTTTCCGACCCTGGATCGCATTCTGGGCCTGTGCGACGAGCTGCGCGCCATGCTGGCCGAGTCGTTGTCCGCACCGGGTCACGCCAATGGAGCTGCTGCCAAAAAGAAGAAGAGCAACGGCAACTCTTCGGCCTCCTCCACCACCTCCTCCAACTCGCCGAACCTCATCGAAGACGAAGATCACGACCCCATCCTCGTCGCCATCCGCAAGTTTTCGACGCTCAAAGTCATCTGGCAAAACGAGATGCTCGCGCAGGAACGCGAGCGCGAAGACGAAGTGGCGGCGGCGGCCGTGGCCGGCACACAGGCCACATCGTTTGCCATGATGAACGGACAGCCGCCCGGCGAGCCCATCCCGCCGCCCCTCCCCACGCCGTTCGACGCCCCGCCGCCCATCGACCTCTTCTCCAACTACTCGCTCGACGTCATCAGCTACTTTCACGCCATGCCCGAGGCCATGTACGACGTGACGTGGCCGTAGGCGGGTCATTGTGTTATTGGACGGTGCTAGACGCAACAATGGTCCGGTTTTGTTTATTCCTTTTGCTTGCTGTTTATTTCTTTTTTTCTTGGTCGTCTGTTACGATACACCCACATCTAAGGAATGATACGACGAATAACGAAATACAAAAGAAAGTGAAAATAAAACACAGTTGACTTCCACCCACGTGACCGCTCTTGGTGTCTCATACTGCGAGACACTTTGACCTCCTCGCACAGTACTGTTGCCCGACGTGTCATATCCAGCCTACCCTGTACACAGACCAGGGGTGCACGCATAACGGGACGGCGGACAGGCAATTTCAACAGGGCTTTTTGCAGAGAGGGGAAAATGAAAGGACGATGGAAGGAGACGCACCAACGACAGATGTGAGACTTACTTGGGAGGCTGGATGGGCTGAAAACGAAACAAATAACAATAAAAAGGCAAGCCTTTATTGTTGTCGTAAGGACCGTCTCGACGTTTTCCCCCAAGTCGCGGCCCTGACGCTTCTTTTCTTGCTTCGTGTGGTGACAAGGTCAATCGAGAGCCTTTCTTCTGGTCTTTGTTTTCGTATCTGACATGCAATGGACAGTGCCCAGACCGAAAAGTCCAAGTGACAGAAGAGCGCGTCGTGTCATGGGTCGACCTTGCCAGAAGAGGCATCTGCCAGCGGGGCCGTTCCGCACGAGCGCCCCAGCCTGTCAAGACAGGAAAGAGCCAGGCACCACTATCAGGACACGGCATTTCGTTCCATTCATACGTCGTAAAACGTCGTACGAAGTACACTGCTTCACATCACGAAATACGCACAATACGACAGTGGCCTCGTTGGTGAGGGTTTGGAAGAAAGAGCCCTGTCTTTGCCTCCGGCCCAAACATGACCTGGCCGCGACCAGCCTTTCAGACGCCGGTGTCTGACAGATGAGCCACAGACCTCAAACAGGCCCTCTCCTGGCCGTTTACAAGGTAATTGGGGAGTCGTGTAGCTGGCTCCGGGCAGAGTAGCTGTCTGCTGTCAAAGGAAAAACGAGGAGCTCTGTCCTCGGCCTGCTAAGTACATCGTAGCGTCAGCTGGGCGCCACCTGAGACGTTAACTGCGAGAAAGAGGAAAGAGCGAACAACAAAGACAGGCATGTCGTCATGGCGCGCCGTTCGTCGAGCACCAGCCCAACGTCATGAAGAAAAGAATTGATGTGCATCTTGGGTCGTCAGCGCGCATCACACTTTCCCATCTGCGTGGTCTTTCAAAGGTCCTTCATCCCCAGGAATTAACTAACTCATTCTTTAATTACGTCGTCCATGCCACACAATTCGTCGCGTTGGCCCAATTTGGAATCGTCCCAGCTGGTCGCTCTTTCCCTAGTCGACGTCGCCCAGCTGCCCAAATCATGGCCTGCTCGCAGCCATCCGCCCCACTCCAACGGGCTCCAAATACAGTGTAGTGAAAGAAAACGGGCAAGCGCGACCCAACCATTGGCATCATTGGCACCATTGGCACACCCTTGCCCACGCAAATGTCCACTCTTTCAGGGGAATACATACGGCGCAACGTCGTAAGTACCTTCGTCCCATTTTAATATGCAAAGGTACATTAGTGGCTACTCGCGTCCATTCCCGGGCGCACCTGTCCTCGTCTCGTCCCTCGTATTGAACCGCATGTCAGATTCCTCCAAGGCGCTAAGCCCCATTGGCCCCTCATTTTTCCGTCCTTGCCTTTTTCTTTCCAGCGACCGCTGAGTCCGCACGCTCGGCACGGTTCAGCAAGTCTCCAAGTCGTTCTCAGCAGTCTCTGCACGCTCTGTTCGCAGATTACTGTCGTCGTCGTCGCTTGGCAAAGCTTGCCCTGGCTCTGCCCCTGTTCATCTACCTCCTGCAGCCTGCCGATGCACGCTGTCCGTTTTTCAGCCCACCGCCTACCACTGCCAGCCACTGCGGTCGTCTTCTTGACACTGGTCGTCCTCTCTTTGTTCGTGCCTGTCGGTCGCTGCCCCTGTCCTCTTTGTCCTGCCGCCTGTCCTGTCCAATCCGTCTTACGCAGCTCGCTGGACGATTGCAACGCCAACCGCCAACTTTCGCGTGGTCTCTGCCCACTGCCTTTCCGCACTGGATTGTCCTCATTTTGGCTCCATCCCAGACCTACGTTGTCGCATTCGTCGCTTTTCCCCTGGTTCTTTGCGGAGGTCTTTTTCTTCACATTCTTACTCATATCTTCTATTGCCGTCTCCTTTGAATTATCTCAAACCTTTCCGGCGCTTCCTTCCTCTTTGGCTTCTTTGGTCTTTCCTTCCATCTCTTCTCTCTCCCACTCCTTCCCTGCTTCCCTCCCTCTCTCCTTCCCTCCTTACTGCATTGCGTTTTCCCCCCTTGCTCCTTCTCGCCCTCGCGCATCGAACCGAGTCTCCCGTCATCAACCCTTTCCTCTTCTCACCCATCCCTCAAAAACAATCCGACGACAATCCACAGACAACGACTGTGAACGCCAACGCGTGATCCTCTCGATTCCGAACATCGCCAGCTTTCGTTGCTGTCTCTCGTTGCTGCACCGCGGCTTCCGCTCACTTTACTTTCGGCCATCGTTGCGCCCATCCTCGGATCTCCCGGCTTTTGGACTTGCATTTTGCTTTTTTTGGCATTTGGGAATTGGGCATTTTGCGGCAATCTGTCAATCAAACACAATCTACGCAAACGAACCACACAATCAACATCGATCCCCCGGCCGGCTGAATTCACTGCCCATTCGCAAACCAGGTCCCCGGAACCAACTGCCGCCTTCGCTTCTGCTTTTTGCCTTTCGCCTCGAGCCATTTGCTGCAGCTTTCACCACTTTGCCAGGCTCAACGTCTCCATCGACTCGGCACGTCATTTTAACGTTTGAAACCACGACAAGAAACGACTGCACCACATCCTTGCTATTTTTGGACTATTTCCTCTTTTGCGTCGTTTCGGGCGACTCGCGATAAACGAGAAAACGCGACACCTCTGAATTTTCGCATTCCAAGACTTTGGCTCCATTTCTCGTGTTCGACTCTTGGCGCTCCAAACCCGCAAAGCGGCATCGGACACAGGCCATCTTCTCCTTCTCGTCTCGGCTTCACCTTTACCCTCATCCTCGCCTTCACCACCACATCCGACGCAATGGCGACCGCCGGCCTCCCCATCACCACCCTCGTCCCCTTTGCGACTCTCCCGACGTGCGCCACCCAGTGCTACCACCTCTACGATGCCAATGGCGCCTGCGTTCCGCCGGCCGCCGCCAACGGCGACACCGCCCAGTATGCCTCCTGCTTCTGCAACAATGCCCTGATCTCCGCCTTTAGCACCGGCACCGCCGGCGTCTGCGACTCGGCCTGTACTGCCGCCGCCGACTCTGGCGGCCTCGAGAGCATCCACAACTGGTTCTCCTCCTACTGCTCCGTCGAGCAAAAGACGTCGCTACAAACACCGCGTCCACCACCTCGAGCACTTCTACAGCCACCAGCACCAAGAGCGCTTCCTCGGGGGGCAACAAGAGCACAAACAACTCATGGTAAGCTATTCTGGTCCTCGCTACGCTCGCTTTTTTCTGTCCTCGCTGCGCTCGCTTTTTTGCTGTCCTCGCTGCACTCGCTTTCTTTTCTGTCATCGCTAACGCTTCTCAGGATCGCCACACACTACCAGTGGGTCATCTTCGTCGTCGTCATGGTCGTCGGCATCACCTCGCTCTGGATCGGCGCCTGCGTCTGGCACCGCCGCTACCTCCGCAAAAAGGACCGCCAGTACGCCCTCGCCAACCTCCGCGCGTCCACCGGTGCCGCCTCCGGCACCACCGGCCTCAACGACCGTTCCATGGACCACGATCTGCACGATCTCGACAGCCACGGCATGGCCTCGCCCACCGACCCGGCCGGTGCGTTTGCGCCCAACTCGTACGATGCAGAGAAGCGCCGGTCGAACCCGTTTGGACGGCGGCGGTAAGCGGCCAAATGCAAAACGCCCTCGAGCCGAGGCCGGCGAAGCCGGAGACGAGCGATGTGAGCGACAAGCCTCCCGAGGCGATATCGTCACGTCGGTTGACAAACAGAGGGGGCTGCCGTGTTTTCCATCTGCTTTGTTATTGGCATGCCGACATCTTTTCCCCTTCACCTTCACTTGAGTGTACATTTCTTACAAGTCTTTCAGGCATTGTATTTACACTAGACACTTTTTTCTCTTTCTCACATTCGCACTTTTCACGGGACGGCGTTTTTCCATGCAAATAGGATTACCGGGGTGGCCCCGCGACGTTGTTTTGCAGTCATTTTCCTCTCTTTTTTATACGTCTTTGTTGTCCTTCATCGTTTGTATCTTCGTACCACATCATCGTCTGTACAGTTTTCTTTGATTGTTGTCTTGCTTGTCTATAATTGAACTTGGCTTCATTCTGTCCACCGAAAAGTATTTTGTGCATGTTTGCAGTGGAGACTTACAAAGCAGTAGAATAAAATAAATTGCCATTTACGAGTAACAGATTTTTGTGTTAATTTGATGATATTTCCAAAGCATAGTCGAAGCTATCCATGTAGCAGCAACAAAGGGTCTTTTGTTGGCAGTTTTGGTTCTCAATAATATTTATGTTGATTTTCTATCGAACCTCTGCTTTGCATAGTGTGATGTTCTTTTGTTGAGAGAAATATACTGTTTTCTAGTAAGAGTGTCAAATGACGTATATATTGTATTGAATCTACTTTTAATTTGTTAAATATACAAACCTATCATTTCATATATTAAAACATTTGTAAAAATCTTCTGAATACCACGTGTATGCCGAATATTCCAAAAACCAAAGTTCAAATAAGAGCCAAAAATGTCTCACCAGCCTTCTACCGGATCGCCACGTGCGAGGTCTTGTGCCGTGCCTGCTCCTCCTCGGCGTCCATGTACAGGTCAATGAGACAGCCGGCGGACCATGCTTGCGTGGGAGACTAGTCTGTTAGCAGGAACATTCACAAGGGCTGAAAGAACAGCAAATAAATGAATACTCGGGGAAAGGACATACCGAATCCTGGCAGTAGGCGCCGTCTTTCTGGGTCAGCTCCGTCAACCCTGCCCACACGCTCTCCTGGATCTGCTCCTTGCATCCCATCAGCCGCCGCGTCACCTGCTGGAACGCCTCTGTACGGCCCTCGGCGTCGTCGGGCGACTGCGCCGCGCGCCGCCGCAAGTCGAACTTGAGCAGCGCCCGCAAGAAGAAGCCCGTCGGCCACAGCCATTCCGGACCCTGGTGGTAGTTGCGGCCCTTGCTCGTCGCAAAGTCCGTGCTGTCCTCGCTGTTGATGTAGTAAGGCCGGTAGTTGAGGTCGGCCGGGTCGAGCGTCGCCATGCCCGTGGGCCCGCGCAGCACCGTGTCGGCGAGGCAGAGCGCGTGCGTCGCGTGCTCGGCGTCGAACAGGTCGGCCGCCACCGTCATGGCAATGGCAAAGTTGGGCCGCAGCTGGTAGTCTTCGTACTCCTTGCCCGACTTGTACAGATCCTTGTAAATGCCACGGCGGTTGACCACGGCGGGGTTGACGTCGTACTGCGCGTCGTCGGCCGGCTGCAGCGGCACATAGTAGCAGCGCTCAAAGTTGTCCTGGATCAGCGCGGCCCAATCGGCAAACGAGATGGACGAGCCGTCAGCGCGCGTCACACCTTGGTGTGCAAAGCCGCCCTTGCTGTGGCGATGCGCCAGCCATTTCAGAGTGCTGTACAGCAGGCCCGTGATCTCGATGGCGGCGCCGTCGCGCGGCGTGCCCGGGATGCCCTTGGACCCGGCGCGCTCGCTCTCGCCCATCTTGTCCATCCACGTGCCGCAGTTGAACTGGTTGCCGCCAAAGATGAAGCCGTTGCTCCAGTCGACGTGCACGTCAATGTTGAACCCTTCGTCGCGCATCTGCATGTCCAGGCCGGGGCCAGCATTCGCCTCACGGAAGGACATGCCGGTCGCGTGCCGCTGCAGCGCCTCCTGGATGACCTCCTCCACCGTGCTCTCCTTGGAGTAGGCGCGCGGGTCGTTAGCATCGAACCACGTGTCGTCATTGGGCAGGAATCGCCGCTTCAACTTGGTCTTCAGCAGCTCGTCGCCGTCGGGGGCCCGGTTGACATAGTCCTGGATGCACTGCAAGAAAAACCAGGTCGCGTCGCGCGCATTGTAGCGAGGGTTGCCGCCCGAGCCCAGCAGATTCGGCACCATGCCGTGCTTTAAGACGCTGGCAAACGCCAGAATATGCTCCTTCGCCTCGGCGTAGCGGCCTGTACCCAAGAAGAGACCGCGCAAGGAAATGAACACATCACGGCCCCAGCACCGCGCCCACTCCACAGCGAAGTGCGGCAGGCCGGCGGCCAGGGACGGCACCAGACGGTTGGGGTAGAGCGACCCCGACTGGACGAGGCCCGTCTGCTGGATGCTGACCATGGCCAGGCTCTGCACGAACCACTGGCCCTCGCGGACATTGGCACTCATGAGCGCCATGGCACGGTCCCAGCTCGCCTGGTAGGCAGTCTTCATAATGAGACCAAAGTACCGAGGATGCAAAAAGGCCGGGATGGGGCGGATGGCGTCGAAGCGCTCCTTGAACCAGGCGGCCGGCTTGCCCAGGTTGCTGTGTGTGTCCTTGGTGGCCACGCGTTCCAGGCGACCAGCAATGTAGTCGAGCGCCCACTGGCCATCGCGCAGGTTCTGGCACAGCGGGTGGGCCAGGTTGTTGTCGCGAACGACGTGCTTCAGGATGCTGTACCAGCCCTGGAGACCGGCATACACCAGGCGGCCGTAGCCGGGAAGATCGTACACGCCGTCGTTGCCGCCGCTCGCGTCGCGCTCTTCGGCCTCGCACCTGTACAAAAGGAAGTTGAGGTCGACCAGGCTCAATTCGCCAAAGGCAGCCTTGGCACCCGACGTCACAAACGTATCGAGACCCGACGAGTGCTCGGCTGCCGGAATCCACGTTTCAAATAGGGCAATGCTGCCGGGCGGGAACTTGTCCGGGACGGCAATCGATGTATCCCCATTGTTGTAGTCGATCTTGATACCGGGCAGGTCGACCACACGGCTCGGCAAGCCGCGCAGAAACTTGGTGTCGTCGAGAGCGTTCTTGGTGGCCTCCTCGCTCGTGTCCACCTCGAGCATCCAGCTGCCCAAGTGGTTTGCGCGGGTGCCAGTCAGATGCACGGGGTTGAACGCACCGTTGCCGTTGCCGTAGCCCGGGTAGGCCGTGTGGGCAATGAGGAAGTAGCCCTTGCGCGACTCTGGGTGCACACGATGCACGGTGACGTATTCCTCTTCATGGTGGATGTGGGTTTCGGCGTAACCGTCCTTGCCCATCAGCACATGGATCTGGTTCAGCAGCTTCTTAATGCCGCCAATCCCATTCCGTCCACTGCCAACCTTGACTGCACGGCTGGACGACTCGGACGTGTACATGCGGGTCTCGTTGACCAAGTCCACGAGGCGCGGGTAGATTTCGTCGTAGCCCATGACGCTGCCTGTGGCGCTGGCACACATGCTCACGAGGGCGGCATTGGGCAGCGTGTCGCGCGCATCGCGCTTTTGGGCGGGGGCCTCGTTGTCATGTGTGCAGTCCATGAACAGGGCCTGGACGGGCACGACGCGGATGCGGCGGATGATTTCACGGCAGAGCTCGTCACCTTCAGCCTCACCGTCTGCCGTAGCCTCGCTGGTATGACCATTTGCATTTGCATTGGGCAGTGCCGACTGCTGTTGCTTCTTGGCGACATCGGAACGGGTAATGTCGTCCACTTCAAAGCTGCCAATGGGCCGGCCACCGTGCCTGTGCACGAGTCGGCTCATCTCGCCCGTGCTCCAGGCCTGCATGGCCTCACGAATCAGCGAGCTGAGGCCCAGACGCTTGACGAAAATGTAGTCGGTGTCCTCGGAGCCAGAGAACAGCTCGGCCACGACGTAGAGGTTGGGGTTGACGAGGCGGGCCTCGTCAAGAATGTGCTCGGCAACGTGCATGGGCGTAGAGTGGCAGTTGTCGATACGGAAGCCGGCAAAGTACTTGGCCATGGTGCGTGCGTACTGGGTCATATGTTCCCACAGCCACGGGCTGTCGGCCGGGCCGCTGCCGTACCGCAGCTTGACGCAGTCGCCCCACACGATGACTTCGCGGCGGAGGTAGACACGCGACTGGGGTCCTGCGTTGTCGACGAGGGCATTGCCGCCCCACACCCATCCGTTGTTCACCAGGACGAGCTCTTCGATATCAAAGTGGGCCGTTTGCTCGTTACGTGGGAGGCGTGTAAAGTAGGTCTCGATGAGTGCCGACTTGGGGCCAATGGGGCCCATTTTTGGACCGTTGTCGTCAAGGCGGCAGTATTTGATGCGGTTAAAGAGCTGCTGAAGGATGTCGGCGACTTCGGCGTCGTATTCGGCGTAGAACGGTACGTTCAAGGCGTCAGCCATCGACACCAATGTGTTGTGAGCCGCGTCCTTTTCAGCACCGCCACTCGCCGGGCCGAGGACGGCCGTGAGGAGCGCTGCGCCGACCTTGCCGTCAATAGTTCGGCGGTGACGCTCGCCCAGACGGTCGTTTCCGTGCAAGGCGTGTTTTTTGAGGAACTCGGTCTGGGTCTTGAGGTCGGCCGATTTGAGGAACGCCAGGTCGTCGAGGCCCGCATACGCGTCGGGGATGGTAATGTCGCCGCGGGACCAGCTGTCCGCAGCATTGGCGGCGTCATTCTCGACGTCGAGCACGTAGTATTCCCATAGGCGGATGCCGGCGATACACTCCGTCTTGATGGCGCCCATGATTTTGTCGAGGTCGTCGGTGCTCTTGAGATCGGTGGGCAGGCCCATCTCGCCGAGGCGGTCGCCGAGCTCCAGCAGCTTGGAGTCGAGCAGGTAGGCGGACTCGAGGTGGGGCGCGGTCTTGAGGTTGTAGCCGGCGTCTGGGTGGTCGAGCAGCCAGGGGCTGTTGTTGGCGGTGTGATTGAGGACGATG